GAATCACAGATCTGATTAAAATAAGATTTGGTTCCTTTTTTATATTAATATGACCATTATTTTAATTCCTGCTTAAGAAACCTCCATGAGTTCCTGCAAGTTGTCCATCTAGTTCAAAATTTCGATGCAATGGACACATAGACAGTCAAAACATCAGCAATTCACACCAAAACTGGCACAAAATCCAGTTTCACAAATTCAATACTGTGTATATGTCAACTAGTTAAATACTCGCATTCACGTTGCTTTTTACGGCGCATAGAACTGACCAAATTCCACAGAAATGCAAGGGCATTGTTCTGCCACATGCCTAACAATGTTCATTTTCACAAAATAATATAAGCTGTATTTCGGCATCATTTTAAGACAATGACTGACTAGTTATACTACAATATTGATAGAAGATTGGTTTTGTTGTTCAATTTTTGTTAACATGACGCTGACGTTATGCTGAATTTGCCTGATGACGTACCCCTAAATAAACGTTCCGCGCGAAAATATAGTTCCAAACGTCATCGGACATAACTGCAATTTTATGAATTTTTACTAATAAACTTGTTCATTACAACTTATACAATCGCTTACTCAAAGAATCTTTAAACGAGTGTTGGTCTAGTGAAACAAATCTTCCTGGTTCAATCCTGATATAAGATATTGCAAAAAGTTAGAAACTCCAATTACATTATATATATATCACAAACTTACAGTTTTGTCATATGCTGCGTCACGGAATCAACATTCCAGGAAGTGAAATACGATTTCTTTGAAGTAAATGTAGTGCTCTGAGCATGCGTGCCAGAAAAACAATAGGAGATACTTCACACGCAAGGAAAAAGCATCGCGGAAAGAACTCCACAATCACGATTTGAGAAAAGTCGCAAAAAAAGTGGAAAACAACACTGCAATAATTAACTCGTGTTACTATATTTGAGAACATATTTTTGTGGAAGTCCTCGTTTAAGACTTATTACTTCAACGAAAAAGTCTCTTATTATCCACAACATTAAAGTGACACGACAAATTCTACCGATATCTTTACTTCCCCCCCGCCCTTTAGATAAACCTAAGCTTAGGGGTTAGAAAGGTTTAAACCTATAAACAACCTATTTTGATTAACCTAATGGTGTGTATCTATGGCGTTTGTCTTTGCTGGTTCGGGGATTAATTCCGATTAAATGTTTTGACCAGAAAGACCTTATCTTAGACTAAAGGTGGGAGAGATCATATGGGTTGAGATCCTCAATCGACATCTTCCGATCATTGAAAGATTATGTTTGCCTGATAAGCATTTGTGATGAAGCAATATATTTGCATGATGTGGCCTAAACCAATATTCAGGATTTACGGATGTCAAATTCCTTTAAACTTTCAGAAGACTTCTTCTGATAACCTAAAATTCATAGAATCATGATATTTGGCCTGTAGGCTCATGTGACAGTGTTTGTGAACAGAAATTCCCAAGATTTATATCAAGGTCACACGGGTCAAATTGGTAAAACTTTCACAGGATTACTTACTAACCACGTTAAAATTTGGTGCATTTTGTGCACTCATGTGTCGAGTGAAAACGTGAAAACAGTATTTGCGTTATATTTAGGTAGACAATATACATGTGTCTTTATAGCTGCTGTCTCATTTTCGTTGTTTTCACTACACAGCTTAAAATCGAGCTATGCAGTATGTTTCTGTTGGGCTCTGTTGTATTTTATGTTATGACATGATGAAGACTGTACTTTATAATGTTGAAACCGGAACGAGTCAATATAATGTACATGAATTAAAATACAAGTAGACACATCCGATTTATACTAAATATTTCACAAACTTTTCTCGAATTGAACAACAAACGACCATCATTGTATTTTCTTAATCTAACAAGTATTTTTAAAATCTAAATCAATGAAATGTAACACGTAAGCTTTAATCATAGACCAGTACACATATCCCACCAGGTGAATAACGTAACGACTCAACAGTATGTTGAAAATATAAATGTAAGCTAAAAATGCATTTATAAAAAAATCTCGTACGTATATTTTTCATTTCAGGAAAAGTTATTTTTTCAAACCTTTCAACTACAAGAGAATATGGCGTGCTCCGATGAAGGGCTAAAGAGAGGTTAAAATATTTTGTACATTTTTTCGTTTTGTCGGGGATGAATGTACTTACATACAAATTACTATTCCCCCTCTCCCTTGAAAATGGAGGTATAAGAATTAATAAAATAATATATCTCTTATACTTCAGAAAGAAACATAATATCTACAACCCATTGTAGTCACTGGAGAAAAATGAAAGTTATAGAACTAGTGGTCAATTTATCAGTTATATTTAATAAATAATTGAACCCGAAGGTCTTGATTAGCGAACAAATATAATTTAATTTTAGACTCTATCTTCGAGTACATTTAGGAGACAAACATATTCCAGTGAAGTTCTCTCTTTCTCTCTCCTCTTTGTGGGTATGTTGAGAAAGATGATACAGTACCGTATATTAAAAAAAATGTGTGCTATAATGAGAATGTGTGCGCGCTTGGGTGCGCTTGGGTGCGTAAGTGCGTGTGTGAATGTCGGGTTATGTGAGCGAATCAGTATTTTGTCTGTAGTTAATCTGGTTGCTATTTAGATATTGTATCGTCCTTACGTATGTTAAATGTGATGAGAATCATACTCGTATCTGCTAGGCTGTCCACCATCCTCGTTATGGTTTAAATGGATGAAACGGGTAACTGACCTGCAAGAATACTTTGACGTGAATTGAGCTATCCATCACTAAACACAATAAAATATTTGAAGTTTGGAATTCAAAATTAGCAGAAAACAACAACAACAACAACAAAACCAAAAAACAAAAAAAAAAACAAAAAAAAAGCAAAAAACGCACACATATTATATGTATATATATTAAATATTCAGTACTTTATATTTATTATTATGGTCAAGCACCAACAAAACTAGAATACGATATCAAACGCAGTAAATATGTATCACTACATGTATCAGATACAATGTTCTTAATTGTTGTATACCGAATGTAGTTATCAGAGAAATGGATATATATATATATAACTTGATTGATTTGTATGAGGAGACATATGCACTCTTTCCAATCAATTTCACTTGTGTATGAACTGCAAACACAGTGTAAAAACAGCACATAGTTAAAACAGATATTTCAAATGTGAATCGATATCAATTTAAATGTTGAGATAGTACAGTTTTCATTTGGATATTTTAACATAGAAACAAATTCTTTTAAAAAGGATGGCAATTGTTTTACTCTTGATTTACCCTAACCTTGAAATCAGGATCTACTAGTACGTTATTTCGTTGGCTAGCCGAAAAATATCAACACAACAAGCATTCTCAAAATATACAATATGTGTACAGCGCATCTAAAATACAGAAAGTCAACAGAAATCACGAAACAATGAGTGGGAGTCGTTACGTACATGAAAATGACAATATATCATATCTTTACCATAGAAATCATTAATTAAGATGCTTTAAGTCACCCTAACAAGTTGCAATTGTCACGTGAACATGTTAAAGATTATGCATCTATAGTACAGAATTAGATAACATCTATAGTACAGAATTAGATAACACATATAGTACAGAATTAGATAACATCTATAGTACAGAATTAGATAACATCTATAGTACAGAATTAGATAAACACATATAGTACAGAATTAGATAACACATATAGTACAGAATTAGATAACATCTATAGTACAGAATTAGATAACACATATAGTACAGAATTAGATAACACATATAGTACAGAATTAGATAACATCTATAGTACAGAATTAGATAACACATATAGTACAGAATTAGATAACATCTATAGTACAGAATTAGATAACATCTATAGTACAGAATTAGATAAACACATATAGTACAGAATTAGATAACACATATAGTACAGAATTAGATAACATCTATAGTACAGAATTAGATAACACATATAGTACAGAATTAGATAACATCTATAGTACAGAATTAGATAAACACATATAGTACAGAATTAGATAACATCTATAGTACAGAATTAGATAACATCTATAGTACAGAATTAGATAACACATATAGTACAGAATTAGATAACATCTATAGTACAGAATTAGATAACACATATTATAGTACAGAATTAGATAACATCTATAGTACAGAATTAGATAACATCTATAGTACAGAATTAGATAACACATATAGTACAGAATTAGGTAACATCTATAGTACAGAATTAGATAACACATATAGTACAAAATTAGATAACATCTATAGTACAGAATTAGATAACACATATAGTACAAAATTAGATAACATCTATAGTACAGAATTAGATAACATCTATAGTACAGAATTAGATAACACATATAGTTCAGAATTAGATAACACATATAGTACAGAATTAGATAACATCTATAGTACAGAATTAGATAACACATATAGTACAGAATTAGATAACACATATAGTACAGAATTAGATAACATCTATAGTACAGAATTAGATAACATCTATAGTACAGAATTAGATAACACATATAGTACAGAATTAGATAACATCTATAGTACAAAATTAGATAACATCTATAGTACAGAATTAGTTAACACATATAGTACAAAATTAGATAACATCTATAGTACAGAATTAGATAATATCTATAGTACAGAATTAGATAACACATATAGTACAGAATTAGATAACACATATAGTACAGAATTAGATAACATCTATAGTACAGAATTAGATAACACATAAAGTACAGAATTAGATAACATCTATAGTACAGAATTAGATAACACATATAGTACAAAATTAGATAACATCTATAGTACAGAATTAGATAACACATACAGTACAGAATTAGATAACATCTATAGTACAGAATTAGATAACATCTATAGTACAGCATTAGATAACATCTATAGTACAGAATTAGATAACATCTATAATACAAAATTTAAAAGACATTGTTATAGTTGTCACTTACACATGTACATTTGTAAAGAAAACAATCTCGAACATTCATTTGAGGAAACCACTTTTTGCGACAACATTGAAATCGGGATATTATGAGAAGGTTTCTGTGTAAAGTGAAACCTATTTGGTTTGGTCACGTTGGTCTCCATGTACAAATCATTATGATGCAATCAGTCTTCGTAAATGCCCTTTGCAGCCAGTTCTTCTTCTACACGTCTCAAGTACGAAGGATCTGGATACCCAAACCTATCAAAATAAAGGAAATGAATGAAATAAAAACGTTTCGAAAAGTATCGCCTCGTCCTAGTCACATGCCAAATGTCATTCATCGTATCATAAATCACATTTCTTTCTGATAAGTTTATATTGATACAATATCATGTTAATGTGAATTTGGATTGAAACCAAAACATAACTGAAGACATTCTTTTATCAGGAATGAAAGGGGATGCCGTGAAGCAAGCTAAAGTAAGACAAGGCCACCTTTGCCAGAGACATGTTATATGTTGAGGTTTTTCTGCACAGGAAGCGCAACACGATTGCTTTTAAAAGTAGGCTAGTGGAGATCTTGAATATTAGCATAATGCCACACACTATGACGACTTGAACACTGACTAAATTTGGTGATCATGTATTGATTAGTCAGGGGAGTATTGAAAAATGTATTTATTGTCCTTATATAACATAGCATCTTACTGGGATACTGGAAAATGTCGTGATTCTTTAATTTGATTTAATTTTGTTAAGAAATTCTTCATTAGTCATATTTGAAATAATGTCAAGGTTATTTTGCATACATATACTAATACCTCAAACCAACAAAAGTGATTTAAATATGGGATTTTTCAACCTCACTTCTTTAACATTTGTGTGGGCCAATTTAGACTTTCCTAACTGCCTTTCTGATCCTCCACACGTTAAGTCTCTTGCATTACAGGCGAATATAATAACGAAAACACTGTTTGTTCCACGTTAAATTATTTATATATACTATACTGTATCTATTATTATATTCTTGCTAAAACGTGCTAATCACGTGCCTTCTTTGAGACATTTTTTCCCCTTCAAATTTTTATCAGACTGCAAGGAATACTTATATACATTCAAATGCATTTCAAGCCGTTGTATAACCTTACAACCCTATGATAATATATAACGTCCTGGTGTATACCTTTCAGGACCACCATGTGTTCTAGTCTTGTGATGAACGTCATTCCACGTGACCACATCCTCACGCCCTGTAGTCCTGGAGATCCCGATGGTAAATGTCAGTTTCTGTTCAAAACTCTTCCTTAACAGACGATGTACTTTTTGACCTTCTTTGTTGTCGGGTAAGAAAGCCTCGCGCCTTGTCCCTCTGTAGCGTTTTCCCGGATGTGGGTGTTCTGCCTTTAATAAAACAGAACATTTATTTGTTACAAATCGACACATAAGTCAGATATGGATATCTTAACGTTAATCCAATGGCGATTCAAATGGAAACATACCTGGTGGCCACAAATGCTCGCAAAAGAATGAGATAAATAAATAAATAAATAAATAGATACATAAATAAATACAAAATAAATGAAGTAAAGTAACTGCTCCAAAATTCATTTCAGAGCGGAGGAAATACAACCGGTACCGCAGACATCTTGAAATAAGTAAATAAATAAATAAACCAGTACTATTTTTCGCGCGGTGACACATTGAATTGACCTCTGTATATTGACATTCATAATAAAATGTTTCCATTTTTCATTGTAGATCGTAAGCTAGTAAAATGTTAAGATCTTAGGAGAAGATTTAAGAAGACTCTGGAAACGATTTTTCCCAACGAAACATACTCTAACCTTGTCTTAAGGTTTCCAATACAGAATAAAGTTCCAAATATAACGGAATCATAGTTTTATTGTACAAACTGTGCCAGTGCCAGGAAACAAATTAACTTCATAGTTAAATGGATCATTATTCTGTACTATCGACATGAGGCACATCTTTTGTGGGCCAGAATTAAAGGTAATACGTATGGATGTCACACCGACTCTCTAGAATCTAATAAGCCCACAGGAGGACGACATTCGGTAACATATTTTCAGTAAAAGATATCATGATTATGTTAGTTATATAGTACGATTTCTTTAGAAAATCATGATTTAAGACGGGACAAAAGACACACAAATGAACACATTTTAATACAATTTTAGAGTAAGATACAGCCAAACGATTGATTAAACTGCATAACAGCTATGTCGTTCTTTTAGGCTAAGGGCCGATTATTGAAGTCTAGGAAGCAACGGAGAAAATCCTTAGGGATCGGAAGAAACTAAAAAAAAAAAAACTAGACAGGAGGTGCAATAAAAGAATAAAAAGATCTTTCAAATATCAGATAATTTTAGAACAGCGTTAAGCAAATGTGTATATTCTGAGCCGTGCCACTATTCGAATGAATTAAAACGTGACATGCAGGATACGGCAAACTCCAGGGACTACAAGCAGTGCCTATCACTTGCTATATCTAAAATATTGTACAAAAGACACACAAGTAAATACGATAACCCCTATGTAGCTAAGTAATGATAAAAATATAATAATTCAAGCTTATTCTACCGATAACTGTAATATTAGTAAACATTCTGATAAGATAATCATTTTGATATACTGGTTATTCGGTTTTAGTTCTAGTTATAATCGTAGTATACTTATGATACTTCCAGCAAACTAATAATCCAAGTTAATTGATATCCCTAATATATTCAAAGCCCTAGTGCATGGACGTTTGTTTTCCTTATATGGATATGTACATACTCCATGTTTTATTTTCTTGGTACTTGACTATTTTGCGCCACATATCTTTTATTGTTTGGTTTTTCTACTTTATTTATTTCTATATTTTCATCATAGTTTATTCCAGATGCAAAGACATGAATAAGTAATCATAAAAACAGACTTACGTCTTGTTTGCCATCAACGAACGAGTAGAAAATGTGAATGGTACCACGTCCATCGAACCCAGGCAAAGATTCTTTTTCGAACACCTCGACCATGTGACCTTTTGGCTGCACCCCTCTGACTATTCCGTAGACAACGTTACAAATAGGACATACTGGTTTAACACTGAAGCTATTTTTGGCACATGGCAGACACAGAACATGATGGCACTTGTTTAACTCCGTCCTTTCCTTTAGATCAATCTTTTCTAAACAAACTGGACAGTTTTCATCTGCTGGGTAACTCTTTACCATCTGTGACTTTACTGAATATCTTTCCATAAACGATTCATCCTCTCGTGTTTCTTTTTTCTCTGTTCTAAAATGGTGATTATGTTTCACTTCCGGTACAGAGTGAAGTTGTAGGCGCGTGATGACACTTTGAATTGTTTTGACAACACTTCGGTCAGGATGGACGATGTAAAGCATTCGTACACAGGGATTGTCTGCAGGATTTACGGAAAACTTCTGGATCTGCGTACATAGAAGGTCGATGACAAAATCCCTAGAGGCACCATTTCGTCCTGTAATGTGAAAACATATCAGACATATGTATATTCCAGTACGCTTCATCCCACACGCTCGCCAACCCCGACATAATTCCCACATTAATTCAATTAGGGGGTCAAAACAGTTTATTTATTTATAGTTTATTTATTTAGGGACTCACTCTCGTCTGACTTTTGGAAACGTTGCATTCTCCCTTCACTAACGTAGGTGTCTAGGGTTCGATTTCTAGAAAGGTAGAGACTATATACCACGTTCGACCACGTGTGTTTTCCACAATTAGTTTCCTCACAAAGTTAGACCCTCTTACGCTTCTACACGGAGCAACAAGAGAGGTTAATATAAATTGGCAGTCAAACATCAGTGATTGACTTCTAGGATTCTGAATGGAAAGGAAAACCGTGAGGATGACATGGCTAAATAGCAGTTAGACGTTTCAAGAAAGGAAGAACCCAGCAACCAAGAACAAATTATTATATACCGGAATATATTCATTCCAGGTTATTTTCGCCCTTGTTCCATTATACACGAATTCGCCTCATGTTAATTGCGTTCACTAAGAATTATATAAAAAGGTGTAACAAATATTTGACCCTCTCCCCCATCTTGAATTCGCCTTCCCTTTCATGGACGAAAAGGGCAAAAAATATTAAAAATGCCCCTGTATACAGTGCTCTGCGTTTCATCAGTACAGTCAAACACTTAATTACAGAGTTATAAATTGATTTACCAGTGCCAAGAAGTGGAATCGCCATAGAATTGAATCCCAGACAGTCGACCCGTTTCAAAAGTCTGCACAAGGCTTTGCTAAAATATTGACACCATGCGTCCTGGTCTACTTCCCTTATCTTTGGAATGTTAATATGTGCCACGTTCTTACACTTCAATCTGCCTGCTCCGGGCGTGAAGATGAAATGCCAGGGTTTCAAAATCCCAATCATGTTACTTGCTACCAGTTTTTGCTCTTCATATTTTTCACCTCCCTTGTGTGCTAGGTTTTTGGCCACCATACCAAACCCTTGAAGTGATTCATCCTCACTCGACACGACAATGTCCACATCCAAATTTGCCATATCGCATTCTGTCGTGTTTACGCACAACTTCCATACAGGTGTCTTGGGCTTTGCCCCGTTATGATCGTTGGATTCTGCGGATCTGTTCAGAAAATTAACGGAAGCAATACTTCCGCTATGTCTATTTCCGCCTTGTTCATTTTCCTTGGATTTTTTATCTACGCCGGGTTGTTTGGATTCATACCCAGGAACACGTATTTCAGGACTTTCTGTCGTGCTGTGTTCAGTAACGCTGGCTATATCTTCATCTTCAGTTTCTTTCGGTCCTTTAAGGTCATACACAGGGACAACCACTCCGCGTTTCCCAGTCTTGATTGGGTCAGTATTTCCGGGTGTATCTTCGACGTAAGCATCTTTCGAGACTTTGAGATCAATCAACCTACTATTTCCCGACAGGTTCGGTTCAGTTAATCCAGATTTTACTCTGGCTTCGTGTCCTTCCGAATGATTTGGCTCGTGCTTGGTATCGGCTTCCGTACTGGTATTACATTCAAACTCATTTTCGTTTGCTTTTTTCTGACCAGTCGTTATACTGCTATCTAGCGTGTTGCATGGTGTTATGCTGGATTTGCCTTCAATTTCTGTCTCTTTCGATCTCGTTGGGTCATGCCCAAAAGTAATCTGTACATAATTTCCTATCGGGGTTTTTGCAATATTCTTCGATTTAACTTCAACTTTGGTTTCATGACCAGGAGTAATTTTTAAACTCCTTCCAAATGTGTTTTCTTTTGTCTTGCTGGAATAATCTTTTGCTGATTGTTGGTTGCGTCGAACCTGTTCAACACCCGGACATGTTTTGCTGTACCCGTTTTTCTTCTTCACCAATACAGAAAGATATGAAGTTTTTTTGCTCTTTGTTCTCTGCACATCCTTTTCTGGCAAATTTTTACTTGCCATACTTTTCGGGCGAAAAATTCAAACTGCTAAACAAAAAAGAATACATTTAAATGTGAACTTAGTAATGTAATCTACTTTACATTAATTGTATAATTTTAGCATAGTCCGCATTTTTATCTAGTAGAAAACAAAAGAAAGAAATGATTTTAGCTTATACGAGGGCTGATTTATAAGTTTTTAGCAATATTTTGGAGAAGCAGGTGTGTCCTTTTTCAGCTCTTCTATTCCTTGACTATTTAAGGCTTTGTATCCAAAGACTGGTGTCACTTGGTCTGTTAATGTCAAAAAGATAGCATTCTAAAGTAATCTTTTGCATAAGACAGGTTAAGACCTAAGGATATCCATACAGTTATGTTAAAAACACCAAGGAATAATGCCCTTTTATAAAATACAGTGAAAGAGTGGGTGGCGGAATTTCAGCGTGGCAGGCAGAGCCTTGGGAATGATGCACGTCCTGGAAGGCCTGTCTCTGTTGCAATCACAAAATTGGCCAATAAAGTCCTTTATAATGGTATGGCTGACAGGTGAGTTACAGCGGGATTTTAAGCCAGAACAGCTGGAATTTCACAGGAAAGGGGACATTCCATTCTTACGGAAGATCTTGCAATGATAAAACTCTCAGGCCGTTGGACACTAAAACTTCTGACAGCTGATCACAAGCACACCAAACGGATTTGCTAATCTGAACCTTTCAAAGGTAGATCTTTCGCACACTCCTACCACTGTTAAACATGCCAGTAAACTGCCATTTTGCAGTTCGGATAAATTTCTCCTCGATATTTTAGAGCTGATGACATGAAAACTCTACTTCCAGTTTGGTATTGTCCGTAGTGTATGCATCACGTACATGATTTAAAGATCATGGCAGACAGATATGTATGTCAGGTTTTTGCAATTTTACCGATTCAAATTTTTGGCCGAGTGTATATAGACGATAAATTTATAGTGAATTCTCCGTGCCCAGCAAATTTAGAAAAGTTAAAAGACTAGACAACACGAAAAATTTTAAAACATTAGCACATTCATTTCTTCTTCACATGTATTACATAGATACGTATTGTGATATCATTCGAATCTTTTAAGTTTTATTTTCTAAATATGTGTATATATATGTATATATTTCTAAATGAAATTTGCCTTTTTATAAACTTAATTGTAAATGTTGAGATAGGTTGTCTCGAATTTGGAATATGTGAACATAATCTTAATTCAAAATCAAATTCGATGAAACAAACTATGAACAAGGGAAACATTTTCACGGAGACTCCAGAAAATATATAAGGAGAATAAGATACAATGTTCCGGAAGAGTTAGCGTCTTCTGCTTCATGGATGACATCCGCCATGTAAAACTTGATCAATCCTACTATAAAATGTCACGTTCCCAAATGAGAACAAGGTAAACAAACATACCTTTCATTAATTAAATAGAATAATTTTTCCTTAATATTTCACCCTTGTTATTTCGAGTTTGAATGACGATTTCGTAAACATGCATTTTTTTCGTGTTTTACTTGTACTCATTCTTGTAGACACATCACCTCATTACGTTAATTTTAGTTTTAATCATTAAAGATTGTAATATTTAAGGGCGATTCACTAGGCACAATATTTAATTTTAGAAGAGATGGGGAAGGGGAAAAAAAGAAAAAAATATGTGAAAAGTATCAAATTGTTGAAAACTGAAAATGTGATACTTGGCAGTGTTTGCAAACAATAATTAAGATTTTACACGACGTCTTGGTTTCAATATGGATTTTTTTTATATACTTATCGCTAATTTAGAATGATTGTCCCAGTGAACTTTAATTCTTCATTACCGATCTTTCCACTCTAATGTATAAGACAAAAGCATTGGACTTCAAACATTTTCATAATGGATTGCCATGATAGATTCCAATTTTATCAATATGATTAGCATTTTTAAAGTACGTACTTGATGATTTTAAAAATTTCTAGAGCTAACTTATCTTTCTAAAACACCTTTTATCTTATAATATTGCAGATTCATGAAATATGTACCAAGGTCTCTGAAATTGCTTGTTATATCAAAATTTGTTAATGCATACGCCAATCAAATATCAGTGCTAATGGCGCGTATATTTAATTGATCAATTTGTGTGTTATTTAAACATGTAACGTATAGCATGAGAAACAAACTTAGTAGGATAGATTTTCGATCGGGAGTATTCATTGTGATAGATGTAAGCATATATATTTTTTTAAATATTTTTTTCAATTTTTTTCAAATTGGAAAAAAATGCAAAATACAGGCACAAATGTACCTTTAAAATATCTTGAATTGAAATCAGTTCCATTATTTCCTTTTTATTTCAAACATTTGGTTCACTGGCAAAAATTGAATTATTGAGAATGACATCACTGGCAGTATTAAATTATATGGATAAAATAATCCACCAAAACAAAAACTTCCTGGATCCTTTGTTTACTAGCCAACGTTGAAGGTAATATGAACTATAATAATAACGGTTATCTAAAAGAGGAAATTAATCATTTCCTGTACCAAGGTAGCCTTAAGAGCAAAGACAGATTTTCTTATATAATGCATATGTTACACTATTCGTTTACTTAAAAATATCATTTCCATTTAATCATAAATAACCGATAAATATCTTCGCTGTCAGTCTATCGTTTGTGTGTATGTGCAGCAGACTCTGTCGATCTGGCTATGTTGTTTATGGTTGTACAGAGAATACGTTATTCATTGTTGAAAATAGCAGCGGCTCAAATATCTTTCACAATAGCGAACAAATAACACTATATGTACACAGTGGAAAGTAAATCTACAAAATTACAAATTAAAAACAAAAATGTATCTATACATACATTTGATTGAGTAGATCCGTCCGTTCCTCCTGGATTAAGTCTAGTTTCGGTTTTACAGCTAGATAAGTACTATTTAAACTTCCGGTTCATACATATATGACCTTCTACTACAATATGTACTTTGCTGTGACGTGGCAACGAAAGCGGAATTAATATAAGTAAATTATTGCTAAAACATATATCATAATTTGGACTTTATTCGGTATATAGAAGTGAAATAATATTAAGTACTTATATTAGTTCGTCTCGTTAATGTAAAAATGGTAGATGGTATGGCATTGGTACATCTATAATGGTAATAGATGAGGACGATAAAATTCAAAGGCAAATTGTGTAACATAGTAACATAGAAAATGGTCAATGGGCTTCGTCTATATACTCACTGTCCATATTGATTCATGAAAAGCAAGATCTGCATTGTTAAGTTGTAATATATTAACGTCACTCAGGTGTGTACGTTGAGTTTTTAAATACAGTTGGAAAGGCATTCCCTTATATATGGTGTTATGTTGATTTAGATCACATTGTAACCAACAAGACTCCTAAGCTCTTCACAGCACGCTAATATACTGAGATGTGTTATTGTTTTCCGTCTCGTAATTTTCGTTGTAAAATAATAATAATGTACAGTCTTGATAAAAGGGCGGAACGCCACAAAATTTCCATTTTCCTTACATGTGGTTTTTAAGATATCTTAACATTGTTCCACTCATCTGAATGAAGAAACATGTCTTGTTTATTAAAACTAGCTTAATTTTTCCGTTATAGAGGGTTACTGATGAATAACATGATATAACCTTCCCAGAATGATTCGAAGTCTTGATGTATCGAAGTTTTTTTTGTAGTCCCTTGAGCTTCGAAACATCGAAGTTTGACTCTCTTTGCTCAATAAAATGTAACAAGCAGAGGTTTATCGCTAATAGTTGTCAGATGCGAAAAAATAACTGTGTTAACTTAATCCGTCTTTTAAAATTGACACAGCATAAGGCATTAGATAATGTTGTAAGAAAATACCATTGGCAAATGTGCAAAATCTTAATCAAAGCCTCCAAATAGACGAAAGTAGTGGAAAAGATAAAATTCACCCAGAGACCCTTGAAATAGTACAATGATAATAAGTGTTTCGGAAGGCTAAATACTTCTGCGTGATCCAGGACAGCCGCAAAGTAAATCTTAACATACGTAAGTAATGTCGTTCAAAAATGAGAACAATTTTTTAAGAAGGCAAAAACATTTTATTAAATACATAATATACAAAGCCATTTGTATGCAATCATGTCTGCTTCGCTTACTTGACGGAAATATAAGTCACAAGCTAACATAAATTAGTAGGAAATTTCAATATTCTCATATGTCACTCAATCTCAATGTATTTAAACACTAGTATTTAGGATGAATTTGATGACAATTAGTTCAAAAGTACCATCGAAATGGTAGGATAGCCAGGGAGAGTTTTACGTGCTGTTTCTGATATTTTTTTAAATATATTTGATGGGCACTTGTTGATGAACTCTTTAGAACTCGAGATTAACTTATAGTGTCAATAATTTATTGCTTCTTAGACAAATGAGTGTTTTTGTAACGCTGGGACAAATCTGTGTGACCTGTTGATTCCGCATTAAAAATCCATTCCAAAGATGAATTAACCCGTTCTGTACTCAAATGCTTTGGTTACACCATCAGTTGAGGCTTAATGATCTGGTTTTTACTGAAATGCAGATTGTCAGTTTTGCATATTAATATATTAAAAAATGACAATTCAGGAATAGGTGGAGATACTGTAATCCATTACCTGTTATATCTTAAAATAAATGAATTTGTTCTCTTCAAAGCATTGAAAGGATAGGCATAAAAATTAAAATTGTTACAAAACAATCGTGAACCGTTATTATGTTAAAAATACGCTAAATTGCTATACCACGTGTGGAATAACATGCATGTTTAAACGACAGTTGGAGTGATTAATTGATGTCTTGGAAGTTGAAATACATCCTCCTGTTGGGGTGAAATCAGACATTATCGATACTTATTCCTTAAATTGTTTTCATATTTTCCCATGTTTCACTTGACCTGTCATTGATCGGTATAAAATGATTATATGGAATTTTGAAAAAAATTGATTTCAATCTAAAAACAAAATACTATAAAGTATTAAATGTTAGTATATGCTTTCATTCGTGGTTTAAGCTCAAGATGTCCTTTCTTTCGTTTATGGTTAAGTTTTACTAGAGCTGGAATTTCATGAAAAGCGTGGTTATACTTCCTTATGAAATCAATTTGTTATGATATCAGTCGTTGTCATCACAGCAAAGGTGCAGAAGTATTAATTTCCTCTGTTGCTTACAGTATACATGTATTGATGCAACGACTGGTTCATCTCAAATTGATTATATTTCTAACCGCTGTTTGCTTCATGTACTTACAAGGGAGTAATTATCAGCACGATCACAATGTAGTACATGGCCACAACCGTTCCTTCCTACATGACGAAAACAACCGGTGACTGTGACTATTTATGGCTTAATGCCTGAAAACTACAAAAACATTATCCCTGAATAAATGTCACTGATATCTTATAGTCAAAAGTAAAATTCATTGAATTGTGTTATATAATGGTGAATCAATATAAAATTATGCTGACAGGGTAGCTGAGAGGGGGCGAAGGACCAATACTGTTAATAGATAAGACTCAAAAGAAATGACAGTAAACTGATAATATAAGAAGTTTGGAACGAGTTGATGATTAAAGTTAATCTCGAATTAGATCATAAATCAGTTCAATAATCCAGGAGGATTCAGAGCAACAGAGTTTTAGTGCAAACTGTTTGAATGGAACGCATCTCTATCGTAGTGGATGGTACATACGTTGTAAAATGATAATGTAGATGTATAAATTAGTCTGAAATATTGTTGTTAATCGCCTTAAGCATTTGGCAATATTCCCTATCATTATCACTATTTTTCAATGCATGTCACGTATTGGAAACTATGACGTCACAATGGAAACAATGGGAGCATTCAACTAGTCACAGCTACAAAAGGTCATATCACACGTGTGTCATAGCAAAAAAAAATTAATGGGTGCTAGTAGGCGCTTTTTCATCTAAAATCACTTCATATATAACATACTCTCCAGAGCAAAGGGGATGACGTATCTTTCCGACTGATAAGATAACGACAGCACCACATGTGGTCTCGGCTCCTGAATTAATACAAATCACCCAAGATACACGTCAAATTGCATACGATTTATTAATTTGAATTTTCATCCGATACTGAAGCGAATCTACAAATCAGACCTAGAACTATCCATGACATACTGATGTAAATCTACAACTAAGTTCTAGATCAGTCCTATTAGAATAACTATATATCTCTAGGTTCACCATAAAAGCAGTCAGTTTTCTCCATCTAATCAAGATACCAAACTATTTGTTATACACCAATATAAAACCAGCAATCAGTCCGATCACAACCATTTCGGAGGTTACAAACAGAACATTGTCAATGAAAGTAACAATGTCACCCTTTTCAAGATCCGTTTGGTCATCAATAAAGCGTTTTATATTCTTGTAGTATTTCGGATCATTGTTGAAGTCCTCTGGCACGTTGTCTGTGGGGGCGTTTGAAACCACTGATTCTATATTACAGATTTCACGATCTTTTATCTTAAATCGCAAAACAATTCGTTTCAACCATCCTGGAAATTGGCTCACACTTGTTTTTGCATCCCAGCGTAGACTGAAAATTGTTAGTATTATCAGTACACAGCTGAATAACATTGCGACAAGTAGAAAGTAGGAAATTCCCGCCATCGGTTCGGATACCTTTGGCATACTATCACTAACGATTGTCATGTATACAGCCAGAGACAGAAACATGGTGATGCTGTAGGAGATTCTCTCACCAGATGCGGCCGGCAGGAGAAACACAAATGGATGCAGGAAACACAGTATATACACGGGCATTATCATGGAAAAGATGAAGTATACTGATTTTCTTGTCAAAGAAATTTTATACTCGATGACACTGCTTTCATCGCTTTCAGGCATGTTTGCTGAGATACTCTCAACATTCCATTCACCATTTGGGCTTAAATACTGCATGTTGTATCGTGGTTGTAAGAATGAAAGCTGTATTTCTGAAGCAACATAGCCCCATGGTACTATCAATAAAGAACACTTCTGTGAGTCGTTAGGGAAATTTGTCATATCAATTTCACAAGTTGATCTTATCATCTTTCCTGGGTTTACAAGAATGTAACCGGAATTATAAATTCTTGCATCAAAATCAGAGATATCAAATTTTTCCATGTTTGCCGAAGAGGATAACAGAAAAATTTTCGGTGCCCAAATCTTCGAAGAATTCACCATTACAGTTTGTATACCGCCATAGTCGTCTGGTTGCCAAGACAACCTGAAATCCTTCCACAGCATATTGAGTCCTCCACTCAAAGTTATAGAACTAGCCAGTTCGTCAACATCGAGAATGGAGAAAAGAAAAAGAGTCGTGTTTACTAGAACTGTGTCCTCCAAGTTCCTAGCGGGACGTAAATCTCTACTGTAGTTAGAGAAGATATTATCCATCAGTCGAGTCATGTGCTCGAAGGTTCCGACAGCATACTCTATCGGGAGGCACTGTAATATCATAACTAGGATAAGGAGGGATTTATTTACCTTCATTCTCAACTGTTTTAAGCTTACTACCTTAAGATGCCACTCTGAATAGGATTTTCGATATCATCCGACAACGAGAGTCACACTTGGTTCACTTCATATAGGCTCCTAAAAATGGATGAAATGCATTGAATAATATTTAATTTAATTTAAGAATAGATATAGAATATTTTTTCAATTATATCACTATGATGACCGTAAAGTTTCCCCGTAATTTGCATCAACTTGCATCTTTTGAAACCTCATGTTACGAGTTTGTCCGTCAATTGACATTTTTCAGGAAAATTGTGATGATTGGAACAAGCCCTTAAATATCGGGAACTGAAACATGTACATACCCAAGGTTTGGGATGTTGGTAAGTAATTTCACGATCACAACTAATTTCATATCACACAAGAAAACAACTAAATGGTAATAACGGTCATTCTATAACAAAATGAATAATATCTGAACTGGAGCAATATTACTAACCATTTTAAACGGTATCAAGATGAAGATTTATTCAAATATGGACTGTTACTGACCTTGCGGTAACAAAAAGGTTCGGCTGATCCTACTTGTCTACAGGCCATAACGAACGATAAGTTACAACCCTATCGAATGAGAAATCAGTTTCGGCTTGATCGCTATCTTTATGGGTTGCCATGGAAGCAACAATAATTATTATCAAATAGGATTTCATATCAAATTAATTACTTTCACATTCAGAATCATGAGAATAATGTCAAAAAAATATTCAGAATCACAGAGGGACTATTGTTAAAATACACTCTGAATTAGACAGCAGAAATCATGATAAGATTATTTCCTGTAGGAAAAGATCGAGATGATCGGCTAATGTAGAAGAGCCTACGAAATACGTTTTTTTTTTTTTTTTGTCATAGAGTTTCCATGAGGGTACCAGTAATCTTGAATTTGTAGTGCTGAGTGCAATTTTAAACGACTACTTTGTTTAATTTATATTGCTCAATGGAAATTTGAAGAATGATGAATAAAACAGAAAAGGAAGGAAATGTAGAATGGACATATCGCTTACGGTCTTATATGCGCATGATTTCTTTTTCTTTTATTCAATATAGCGTAGTAAGTATGCTAATTGTAAGCTCTTAGCTAAAATTCATTGTGATATTTTCTTAGCTTTGGAGTGTTTTAATGTGGAATATATTTTACTGGTTGTTTCGGGATACGACTAATACCATTATTATGGGGGCACACAAGTTAAACCTCCCGTATGTTGTTCAGTGATTTAGCCACCAACTTCTTCAATGAAATCCTTCCTTAAAATCTTAAAATGATAAAATAAACATGACAATCTTATCCTAAAAAAGAGACGACGTCGAAGTTGCTGTTTGAACAATATTACGATGTCACCGCAACATTAAAATGAGTTATGATAATCTGCTCCATGTTTTCAAATAGACCAATATGTTGCCAATCACTTGCATGCTATTGGATGACTTATCTGCTCACCTACTCAGTATGATAAATCATCTGTAAAACCTAATAGCAAATCCACTAATTAATCCAGTAACTACTATTTCCGTGGTCACGAATAAAGCATTGTCAATGAAATCGACAACGTCTTTCTTTTGTAGATCCGTCTTTTCATTCACAAAATGGTTTCCTTTGTCCTCAGATGCAATGTTGACATCGGGTTCTTCAGACATGTTTGAGCTAGAGTTATTTGCGATAGAATTTTTGTGAGCGAGTGATTTATTACAAAATATTTTCTTTTCTTTTTTCTTCAATCGCAATACGATTATTTTCAACCATTTTGGAAATTGCTTCGTATCAGTAACTGCATCCCAGCGTAGACTGAAAATTGTTAGTATTATCAGCACACAGCTGAGTAACATTGCGACAAGTAGAAAGTAGGAAATTCCCGCCATCGGTTCGGATACCTTTGGCATACTATCACTAACGATTGTCATGTATACAGCCAGAGACAGAAACATAGTGATGCTGTAGGAGATTCTCTCACCAGATGCGGCCGGCAGAAGAAACACAAATGGATGCAGGAAACACAGTATATACACGGGCACTGCCATTGACATCATGAAATATGCTGACCTTCTTGTCAAAATGATAGTATAAACGAGAGCACTGGTTCCGTTTTCATGTTCAGGAAACTTTCCCGGTGAGATGCTATCAACATTCCATTCACCATTTGGGCTTAAGAAACCGAGATCGAAGCTTGGGTCAAGATAGGAAAGTTTTATTTCTTTAGTGTAGTATCCCCAAGCTATTAGAGACATATGACATGTCTGTGAGTCGGTAGGGAAGTTCGTCATATCAACAACACACGAACACTTAAACACCTTTCCTGGACTCACAAGCATTACACCATGATTGTTTATTCTGATGTCAAAATCATTCATACTCAACCTTTCTATGTCTGCTGTAGAAGAGAACTGGAAAATTTTCGGTGTCCAAACCTTAGATGAATTCACCATTATGCTCGGTATGCCACCGTAGCTGTCTGGTTGCCACATTAGCCGAATATCTGTCCACATCACATTTATTCCTCCACTCAGAATAAGAGACCCAGCCAATTCGTCAACGTCATGAACGGTGAGAATATAAAATGATACGTTAACAACAACTGAGTCCTCCCATTTCTTGGTGGGACGTATCTCTGTTCTATAGTTAGAGAACATGTCGTCCATCAGTCGAGTCATGTTTGCTATGTTACCAGTCACGTGTAGTATCACGTGACAATAAGATATTAATAGAATGATGATATCTGCTCCTTTCATTCTGAGAGGCTGTTACGTCTAACAAGATGTCAATACTTTGTGGCGGATTTACGACGACAGAATAGACCCACCTACCTCTAAAAAGAAAACAAAAGTAATGTTTTAAGTCCCTGCGTTATTGAAACGATCTCAGCTGTAAGTCGCCTGATGTATGTCTTCAACTTTACTGACAAATCCTGTATAGACGAAATAATTGTTATTTGAAAATTATTCTTATTTTGCTTTGCAACGTTTAAGTGTTATAAAATGTTTTATGGTTTTTAAATATATTTATGGAAAGAGAACCCAAACAACAAGTAAAATACCGATAATGCAACAGAATGTTCATTCCAATTCAATGAAATTACTTGGCAATAAAATATCAATAAACTAAACTAAACTAATTCAATGAAACCAGGGCAAAATATGAACAAAGGAATGATATTCTTGGAGACTCCTGAAAAAGTACAAGGAGAATGAGAGCAGGTGTTCCGGGCGAGTAAGTGTCTTCAGCTTCTATGTTGACACCGGCTATGTAAATCAAAGTAAGCAATGTCTAACTCAAATGAGAACAAGGTAATGAAGGTGTCGGCTAGGTATTAATCGTCTCGAAAATTTTGATGTATGAATGTATTTTTATTTGAAAAATTATTATTTTTACGATAGTATCCATCATTAAAGTAAGCTACTCCTTAAAACATTAACACATAGAGGCTACTATTTAGTAAATAGAAATATGCAGTATATTCGAACTAAAATGTTGATACACAAAAGAAATCGTTAAACTTAATTAAGTGGTCGGCACTTTATGATCTGTAAACAGTCTGTTGTTTATTACGTTCTATCTACCAAATTGTGGCTAATATTGTTTTCTTGTAAAACGTGTGTAATTTAAAAAAAACTTTTCAAAAACTGCACAAATGATGAAAATTGTGTAATCAGTTGTTCTGTATTAGGAATAGTGATAAGAGGCCAATTACAGGACATTAAGGTATCCCAGATCAGGTTTTGTCCCATGCTCATCTGTTATCTTAGTATATATTTAATATTATTCAAAGTATCAAATAAAGGACAAAAATAAATAAACGAATAAAATAAATTTAGTTTATAATTTAAAAAATCATGTATTGTATCACCAAACTACAATATAATACAATGTACATATAAATTGTATTCACACTGTCGATCACCCTTGCTTAACAGCTATGTCCAGATTCTATCTCACCCTGTTAAATATATAGCGGAGTAGCTTTTTCTATATCAATATCCATTATGTAAGACTAAATTTGTAGTTAGTTTACATGAGTATTTTTTATATTCGAATGAAATGAAGTCGCTTACCTTCTGATTATCTGCTGGTTTTTGCAAGAATTCCTTTCGGCATCATTTCAAAATGCTTCTTTAAACAGATATGTCCACCAATCAGAGGCGACCAATAATCAATTAGCTTTACAAACTGTGTCTACCACACGTTGCTATCATCACTTTAAAACTGATATCGACTAATTTTATTTGCTTTATACGACTGTCTGTTAGTATGATATCGGGATCACTTCTAATGTGGTTGGACGAAAGATTCTACAAATAACTCACAAGTGAATGGCACCTTTTCATAATTTAGAGTGAGATACAGTAGAGCCAAACAATGAATTAAACTAAGGACCTGAATTCTGAAGCCTAAGAAGCGACTAATGAAAAATGTGATCAAAAGGTAAATCCAAATCTAGACAAGGAGATGTAGCAGACCCATAATTGAATAAATAAATATGTCCTTTCGGGATCAAAATGGGTGTAGTGGATTAAATTTGTAACATTTCTTAGCACCATCCTTGTAAAGAACAAACGTATAACATTTTGCAGGTCGGTAGTTTTACTTTAGAATACTTAAGCTTGCTCGTTCACTAATATTCATTTTTGTTTTACACAACCATTAAGTTTTTTGAAGAACACAGAACTATTGTGTTCATAGACATGGTGTGATTCAACAAGAAGCCTTTCATCACCGAGACGTTGAATAACAATTATAGTGTTGTGTGTAGACACACCTTGAATTACAAATAGTATGTTGCAGAAAGTGCCATTTAATTTCTATTGCAAACAACACGTTTGCCTGTCAAGATGACAAATGGGGCGTTTTCTTCTTTGTTTAAATATGTCTGCTTCTGTAGTCCAAAAGGTATCCAGTTGCAATCATACACTTATAGTTCAATTGTTTGTATAACCCTGTGGTAATGGAACATTTTGAGTAGGACTTTACAGAATCAAAGTTATCACATCAGAGTAAACACCACACAGTGACAACCATGGGTATAATTCTCCATTCAGTCTCTAATATGGTATAATGAGGCATACCGGAACAAATTGTTTGAGATCAAAGTCAGCCCCTTTAGTTGCATACAATTTACATCAATGAAACTAAGACCTTACATGGGGCTCTTGAATCAAATCATATTATGTTACCTTAATGTAGTATTGACATTGTTTCACGACAAATTCGAAAACAAATATATTTATATGTCGACGTTTGAATAAAGACAATGGCGTCAAGAACACATTAAAACAAAGGCTATTTGATATGTCAATTCGAATGTCCCTTCGTCAGGCCCACTTATAACTTCTATCAGTGTACAATGCTGAATGATGGGCGTTATAACAATGTGGTTAAATCGGCATTTCGATTTAATGTGATTATTTAGCATATACATTACAGTTTACACTTATATGTTTATTTCCCATATGTAAATTTCCCAATCCTAGTAGTAATAAACATGTTACAGGTAATTCATATTCAAGTAATTATTCCAAATACCACATAGATAAATAGTAAAAAGTATTGTCACTTACATCCGTATGCTATGACGTCACCTCACCTAAATAAAAAAAATCGGGACTTTACACTCAGAATTACGTACTTTGAGAATTGCTTGGTCTGACAATAACGTATCCCTTGGTGCTTAATGTAGTCCCATTGACAAATGAAAAGCAATTCAAATTATAATGACACTATGAATTATCTAAAGGGAAAAAGGTTAGGTCCAGATCTTCGACTAATATAGATATGGTGTCATTTCCATTAGTGTTAACAGGTATTATAGGTTATCGACCTTGCAATGTAAACTGAAATACAATTACTTGTTTGTTCAGCAATAAATTCTTGTGTTAAACGCATATTCACCAGATCAATGTGGAGCAATAGTCATTTTACACTGTCCACGCCTCTTTCATGGATGACTTTGTTTTCATAAGAGGCTGCATTTATCGAAGAGCTTATCAAAGCAGGTTACAAAGACGTTGCGAAAATCTCAAATGTCACTCGACCATGTTAATCCCACCAGAAATGTAAATTAAGGAAAAGACAGACTTTTCTATATCAGCCGCTTATCTCGACCTTTTCCTACAACGAAACCAACATGGACAGCTTTCCACCAAGCTGTAAGATATGCCTGATCATGGATTTCTATTTCCGATTGTAAATTGTCCATTACTGTAAAGCAATATTTCTGCATCCCAAACCTGTCGCTATAATTATAACACTGGGAAATATTATATTACTTTGTGCGATATGAAGTTTGTGTTTGATGCTCGTTAGTATATCTGGTGATTCCTACTGTTAACCTAGTTCTCAAATGTAAACATGGCATTACTTGCTTGGACTGACTGAGAACCAGAAGTCGCTTCTCCCTCCGGAACACAATTTATCATGAGTCTCTGTGTAAAATCTTTCTTTTGCTCATACTTTACTATAGTTTCAAATTTCAAGTTTTGATTAACAGGTTATACTCATATATAATTATTCGCCCCCTCACTAGTTCGACAAAGGGAAGTAATTCTTGGTATATAGCCGATCAGAACACCTCGCAAGGGTATTCCGAATGTGAGTTTATAGAATATCGATAGTCAGCACCATCGGAAGAAGCCATTGATACCTATTACTATCATTGATTATGTTTGAGTGGTCTGTCTAAAGCACTGGGATAAAATAAAACAAAGTAAAGCTATGATCTCTGTGTACATTGTAAATGTGTTATTGATTTGTATTGTATCCTATCTTGTTTCCTGATGGGTTTTATATTTGGTTTGGGTAACGTCCATTTTGAATAATATTTAGGTTCGATTCATTTATCTCTAAGGCCCATCAGATATATCCAATTATTTCATTTATCATAACATGCGAATGTAGAAGATGCGAACAGTTTGACAGTCCAATATATGCATACCATTAAACTAAAATATCACACTTATTCCCGTTGCAACAAACTATGGTCAAAAATGTTTTTCTTTTAAGTTAACTGCAGTTCCTCCTCGACAGAAAATGTAAGATCCTAGGTGTCATCATCAACTTCATAATTCCTGTCAAGTACTTTTAAGTCGCTTTCAGCTTCGCAAGCCATTTGATTCCACCAAAGGCCCTGCTGAGAATAAACTGATGATATTCTAGTTCACTTGACACCGTTCGACCCCGCCTAAGCATTTGGGTGTCAAAAATGGTCAAGATGTGCATAATAAATCTATCTAATTTTCAAGTATTTTTTAAATAGAAATAAACAAATTTTACTCAAAAATGCATTTTTTTTACATAAACTATCGTAACCATTACCCACTTAAGACAAAATGGGTGACTCTAGGGTACAGAAACTGAGCACACAGTGTATATTTTTTTCATATTTCAATCTGTTGGTCATTCCCTGATCAGGCCCCTGAGAAATGTAGGCTGTGTAATTCACTTTTCTGTTTTGTCTTTGGTAATGGAAGGCTTCCACAAAATTTAATTGAAATTGGTTTTGGAGTTCAATTGTTTACGGACGGACGGACGATGCACGACGCCGGACAAAAAACCATTGTCATGTTTCACTTGATACGAAACTCAAGTGACCTTAAATCTACTGCATTGTTGTTTTATGTTTATGACCTATGAGGAAATCTTGTACTTAACATCTCCTTCAGGTACAATGACTAACGCGAAGAGATGAAAACCATGTTCCGAACAAATTTTGAAAATCTACTTTGGAAAACTAAATATATCAAAGGAAATGTCAGCGAAAACCGATAGTGTTCTACCAGTGACATTTTAGACGTTGGCAATCATTCAGGGACAATTACTCTCAGCGCTGGATTGGTTGTTTCCACCAATTCCCAATTGTCATAAGAACCTTAGAATATCAGTGTAACAGAGACCATTATTTATTTCAATGCCTCCGCTAGGAATCGAATCCAGGACCCCTGACTTACTATTTATTAGCCGAGTGGAATATTGCGGTTAGTATTTTACCAAGGTTACATCAGGGATAACACATGATATCGGGAATTCCTGAAAGATTAGGAGACTTTCCTCATTTCTGTTATTATGTACTCTAGATAACGGAGATGTTTGGTTCGGAACAATTCGACGTGTGATGAAATGCCTCTAATTGTTCTGAAGCAAGGTCCGTCCTGACAGCAACAAATATAGATGCTGTCTATGATCAGGCCGTGAGTTGTCATTTTTAGTAACACTATTGAAGACGGAAAATTTCATTCCTGAATTGTATATTCAAAACTGCAGCAAAATCTAAAGGGGAAACATTTTGTCATGCACGCGATCATGGGCTACAATAGAAGCTTGCCGAATCAGAAAGGGGTGATTTATTATTTCATTCTGCTGGCCTTCCCATGTATGTTTTCTTTCTTCAATGTTCAAATGCTCTGTATATTGCAAATAGTTTTGAATTTCCTTCTATGCTAACACGTTCCTAATCAATCCACTCTCGTTGGCAGCTTTCCAATTCTCCAAATTAGATCCACTACACGTGGAAACTGGGAAGATTGTTAGGAGTCGTCCTATTGGCACGAGAGAAAGAAATAGTGCTCACAATGTCGAGTCTGGCGATTTCGTCCTGTATGCCCGTCAATGTTCCATAGTCGCGGCAGAATTCAGCACTTTTGGAGGATGTTTTAGACTAGTTCCAGAATACCATTTACAAAATTTCAATGAGACAAAATACTGTGATATAGAGTAGGTTCTCAAAATCTGAGCGAGTCCCAATGGAAAAGTGCAGTCCAGGACTCAATTATCATTCCAAAATATCCCTGATAATTCTAGAATTCCTTTGAGGTCTCAAAATAAGTCAAATTCACTAATCTATTAGATAAAAAGAAAGTTTCAATTTTAACACGGAAACACAACAGATACGTAAGGGTGTAACGAGACAGGGGTATGTAATGATGGTAAATGTTTCTCAACGTGCACCTTTCCTGACCACAGATATGTTAACTTCGAGGAAAAAGCAGATTTACTATGAATTCATGGTCTGGGCAATGATGCATCTTAATTTGATCACAATTCACTGACTAGCAGGTTACCCAAGGTCAGGATTCTGGTATCTATGCTTTCTCATGAAACATGTTTTGTACTTTTAATTCATTAGAACACACATATAGAAGCACATGTATATATATATATTTTTAAGTATCCGGTATCGAAATTATGAAATTATTGAAATGATGCGGTAATTATATCTCCTTACATTTCGACTACTTCGGATTGCACGATCGTTTGATTAAAGTTTTTGCTTTATCAAATGTTTGTGCCAATAGCAATATTGTAAAAGGGACACTAAAAACTGTAGACTGACATTTCTTTGATCTCATCAAAATAAAGTCCATCCAAATAAACCCAACCACCATTTTCAGACTTAACTAATTTTTTCTAGCTGCCGGGAACAACACAAATCAAAGTCCAAGGGAGATAACTCTTACACAGTAATCCCATTCCTGTGCCGACTAAATCTCTCGAAATTTTTATTTAGCATATTCATTACTTTGAACAGGGTTAGTTCGTAGTTTGCCCAGCTAAGACTTTTTTCTTTTCTTTTACAATCCAGCAAGATGAAGGTACATCTATAAAAACCATGTTGTTTTGTAGTCAGCCAAAATACAACAAGAGTGCCGTAGACACTGAACTCCGCCACAAAATATAAAGGTCAAGATTGGTCCTTTTAATTATCGCTTTTTACATGTCTGTATACATTAGCTCAAAATGAAGTCTGTGAGACCAGTAAGCTTAGCTGGAAGAGACAGGGACCCGAGATCATAAATCTTACAAAAATCAAAGAACCGAAAAATCGTCCCTTTATGCACATCTACCCGTTGTAGTAGCGATATTGAGCAAGTTTCATGAAAATCTGACGATTAGTTCAGGAGTTGCGTTCACAAGAAATGGATGTACAGACAGACGGAGAAGATGACGCCAATATACGACCGTCTCCGGCAGCGTATAAAAAGAATTGTAGTTGAGTGTACAGGTTACCTAACAATCCTCACATAGTTGGATTTGGTTTTAGTAAAGGTGTATATTTGCAGTTTCATTGATAACTTTTCCTCTCGAAATCTACTACATATAAATGCATTACTACAATTCATGTTTTTTTTCCATGGATGTCTATTTTTGTGGATCAAAAGTTGCTATAATTTCAATGCTTATGTAATACCAACAAAATCAATGATTTTACATATGTCAGCTCAAGTAAAACAAAAACGTACACTGTTTTCCCATCAAAGGTGACCTTTATTAATTTAATGTTTTGCCACCAAGACAAGACCAGTCCCTAAATTCACATCTAAATCATCCTCCTGAGCAGGGGGTTAATCTGTGTGTCCCGACAGCCGAAGTCTCCACCATCGTTGTAGTGGTTGTATTTCCTTCTCCAGCCACCGTTGGGCGTGTTCATCTTAAAGTGCCACATAAAGTTTGTTGCAGCTTTGAAGTTGGGTCCGACAGTGTAGATCTCATGGATCAGATCTTCCATACAGATGATGCCATATTGACCTACAGAAGAAGAAGAAAAAACTATTTTGATGTATCTATAAGTTATTTTCAATCTGTTCTGATGTGGTCTCATGTCTTTGAGCGAGAAACTCTACCTTAATTACTTTGGTACAAATTTTTTTTTTTTTGAAGAGTCAAGGTCCATGATAAAAAAAAGTGACAACTATTATGACAAAACACTCATTTGTTGTTCTGACAAGTAGATTTTGCGGATGGACGAGTGATTTTTATTGGCGACTAGTCGGTCAGATGAGTAACTAATGAGTATCTAATAATGAAAATCACAAAAAATGTTCAGTACATCACCAGGAAAGTTTGTAACTGCCGGACACAACAAAGGAGTTTCTTGTCCAGACATGTGCTTTTCGCAAGGATATATGTTGGATCCGAGTGTTCAAATTGAACATTCCAGATAAACTATTAGATAGCAAAATAATTTGGGATGTAAACAATAAAGAATGTCTATTAAACTCCTAAAATCTGTTTTTATTGTGGTATCCCTTCGATATCAATTATCACTTCTTAATTTACGTACCTAATTGTTTCTCGATGATAGAGTTGTCAGTAAGTGGGATTCTCCTACCATCAACCTTGGCATAACCACGCTTGTAAACAAGCTCTTTCACACTCTTCAGGTTTGGGTATCTGAAACAAAAGATGATACAAATAATTGTACATCAAAACAAAAAGGATGCAATAATTTTAAATGATATCCTCCAAAGGGCTGTACCTATGTAATTTTACATCCAGGGAAACTTTAGACAGAACTCTTTCCTAAAACTTCCTCAAACTAAATACTATAAAATTGAAATTGCTTGAATTATGTACCAAAACAATCCACATTTAAATAAAACAAGAAACCCAGTAACAAATATATATACTTTATAAACAAAACTGTGCGAGTTCTGAATGAATTTATGACATATTCAAGATATCCTTTTCTTTTCTAGGAAAAAAGGTCCATAAAGAATTTTTTTATGTAATACCATGTCCTACAAAACGATTTACTTCTGAACAATTCAAAATTTACATCAAGCTATCAATTTTCTTGTTCATCCATCATAACAAAATTGAGTCATCACTTTCATTAAGAAGACATTTGGTACTAATCACGTAGATGAACAAAATGTGTTGAAGCCAAGTAACAAGGCATTCTTCCCATATATTACATCTGAAGGTCCTTCATGTGTTTCTCTGAATCTTGTTTCTAAAGTGATCAATCTACCATTTATTTTGCAATTCCTTTTAAACTTTATTGCTGAAATAATTGATCACAAAATGTACAATTCAAGTATTTTTAAAAATTCTACCAGTCCCAACCAAATTCTACAAAGACAGGACATGTAGATTTATCACAATTTCAATGCAAGAAGTTTGATTTGGAAATCTATCTACAGGAAGAAAGCACACTAAAACTCCAGTACCCTTATCAAGTATATTTATGTAGAAAGCAAATATAATAATACCAATAATAGGTTATTTAAATTTTTTTGTGTAGGTTTGAACATTCAACAGAAGACATATGCATTTATATATTTATAGCGAGTTTCAAAATAGTGAGTTTCAAAATATTTAAAACATGACTGTTAAAACATGCCAAAATGTTATTATCAAACAATTCACTTTACTATTGCTGAATATATGCTGGGTCTTCATCAGATATTTGCTGGTAAATAATTTTCTCTAATATTCTCTAAGCTGTGCAATATTTCAATGTTTGTTCATCCATCATAACGAAATTGATTCATCAGTTTCATTAAGAAGACATTTGGTGCTAATCATGTAGATGAACAAACATGCGAACACATAAGAAACTATATTATCAAAGGTGATCTATTAAATGAAAGAATACATCTGTTTTGCTTTCAAATCTTCAAAATGTAGTACCCACATGTGATTTGTTTTGGAAAGCCTGCTCAGACATTTTCCAAAAACGTAATGGAGCAGATAACAAGACTTTACTAGGAACGAAATAAGACAGTAAATGATCTGGAGCTTGCATGCTTTCTGACACGCATAGCCCATGTAGACTTCAATCACTAACACCTCAGCATAAGTTTTTAGTGATACTTGCAGTCTTAGCATAGGTTTTGTGATACTTAAAGCCCCAATATACGTAACATTCACCAAAAATTTAGTGTAGAATCACACATAATTATTGAGATATTCTCTAAGATGTAGTTAAAATTAAGTTATTCAAACAATAGTTACTATGACTTTGTGCATAAAGTATTGATATATGAGCAGTTGAAACTCACTATTTGTAAACACACCTCCATTTTAAACACCGCCATCGAAATTACGATTGTTGCCGAACCACGTCGGAAAGTTCATGACCTGATCTTGCGAGAGTTGAGGTTTCTACTTATAGAGGAAGCACATGCAGATATGTCTACGGTAAGTTTTGTTTACAAACATGGTTTGCGAAGTCTTGTCGTAGACTTGAGGTATTCCTGTGATAAACATTCAGTTTTTGGGAAATTATTAGAAGGAATAATTAGTTTAGAAACGATACGACGCACAATTATAACGTAAGAATTCAGAACTGGCCTGATGTATGATTGAAAAAAAGGAAGCGACTGGTGAACGTCTGTATTGTGTCTGCCATGTTTACACACGCAGAATATGCGCATGCGCAATGTCATCGCTACGAGCGGTAATGTATGAACTATTGTGGGTCCCACATTGTTTATTTTCCGATTTTTTCAATTTTTATTTAAATTGAAAACAGTCAGTTTTATTTTCTTTAATTAAAGGAAAGTTTTTGTTTTGTTACATATATTACGGGGAAAATAAGATAAATTTTGTTTTTTTTTTCTAGTGATTTTTACATATATTGGGGCTTTAAATCTGTCTACAGATTTCAAACACTTACCCCCATGTAATAAATGGCTCAGCAATTCTAAGCATGTTGATCGTGGCTTTGTTCAGGCGAATGAACACACCATTGTTGATCTGTCTCAAGCGGAACAACTGCATCACCTTCCTGGGTCGTGGATGGACTCCGTTGATACTAAAAAAGATATTTATATTCAGATATATTTCATTGATTATTTATTTTCCATCAATAGATTATCAACAGTGATTATATTTCTTAGTTATTTGGTAATCAATATGATTCAATAATCAATAGCAACAAGTTTCTAGAACCACTGCCATCCTGACCCAAATCTTAAGGTGACATATGCAGTTTGGATCTGTCGCGTTTTGGAAATTTTTAAGACCACTATGTAAATCAGGACACTGGAAGTAACTTAAGACTTTCTATGTGGTAAGAGACTGGAGGTTTTAGAGGTTTTTGCATGTAATTTCCTAGACTTTCTATGCGGTAAGACACCAGTTTTAGAGGCTTTTGTACATACTTTCCTAATATGATTCTTAGAGTAATTAGTTGAATATCAACAAAGTTAAGAAAAGGATGGGATTAAATACTTTATCATAGTGAAGATTACAAAAAACATGTAACAATCCCTTTCATTTTGGCCTGGTATTGCATAGGAAGTCAACAAGATTCTTTATAAAGAAATTGCTATAACTTGACATTTATCTTATTCTAAACTAATAAAACAGTTAAACGAGGTTTTCACATGTATTTATATGTAGACCCTGTGTAGTAGTGATGGGATGATCATAATACATATAATTATTACAATATAATTACTTAACTATTTAATCTCATCTGATGCAATAATCAATTGTAGTTTTTCATAACTGGTACCTTGCCTTAACATTTGCTTGTTTTTTTAGTAAAAACTAAATTTCTATTGTGCATAATAAAAATGCTAATTGCCAATGATATTCCTTCATATGTTAATTCTTGGCGAGTTATTTTTAGGTTAAGTTTTACAAAATAAAAATACTGCAAGGGGGAATACATTAATTTTCTATGAATATTGAATACACAGTTAACCGATTGTGAAATCAATTGACTACAACAAGAAATCTAGTCGATTTTAACTGGTAATCGATCAAGGATTTTCATTGATTTCCCATCACTATGATAATTTAATCAACTGATTGAATATAGTATTTATAGCTATCTATGAAATGGGCGTAATCAAAATATGTAAACAAAAATTCGAGAAATGCTTTTCTCGTGAGTGAACAATATTCAAATTGACCCTATAATTATCAAAATTGTCGAGCAAACTCAATCAAGAAGATAAATCAACCTTTTGCAACTTAAATCAGCAGAATTTCTTGAAACTTAATGCAACAATATTTTTTTGTTTTGGGTTGTAGATGAAATAAACATAATTGAAGCAGTGAATGGTATTGTTTGATCTTTGTACTATAAAAATGGATTAATCTGTACCCTCGTATCCTCACAACGAATGCCAGTTTGGGTTCATCAGGGACGTAGAAGTTGTTGTGTTTCCTAGCCTCTCTATGGAGACGGATGGTATCTTTCTCCATGGCCCGGTATTCTTTGATGTATTTCTCAGCTCTTTTAAAGATAGCCTGTTTCTTTGCAGCCGTTTTCTAAGAAAATAATAAATGTAATATTTTTCACTTAAAAATATCATATGATAAAATTATATCAAGATTTTATGCACAGAAGAAATGTGTCTCAGTACAGATAATAAATAAGCAAAGATCATAAAACAAAACAGAGGTAGGCTATGCCAATTTAATGAAATGCAATTATGTAGTCTCAAGAACATTTTAGATGTCACTATTAATCCTGTATCTGATGAGAACAAAGTTATTGATGGGATTTGTTACAACTGTCAAGATTTTGTAATGGTAGCCATCACAGAAATGTGCTGGTAACTGTGGTTGTTTGCAGCTTCTAGTTGGAAAAATGAAGTGATTATATTTTGTTGGCAACCGTCAATGGCTTTGATAAGTTGGTAGATTTAAATTCAACAGCACTTAAAAATAAAAAAAACACACAATAGAAACTAAAAAAGGTCGGCAAATTATCTTACAATTGAATTATCTTGGCAATAGTCTATTTTCTTGGGGGAATCCCTGTTCTTTCCCAACCACGAGAAACATTCTCGTTACAGGCCTTCATATCATTAATTCACCAATGCATTTTCTTTACAACCAGTCATGATTTAGGTTTCAATATGCAAGCATCGCTTGGTATTTTATATCCAAACTCATATCAGACTACCTTCAAAACAGCCATGCAGTCTTGCTTTATGAAAGTTGTACACCACTCCCAGCAGCAAACAACATGGAGAAGGGCAAATAATTGAATTTCTGATTGCACTGGAGGCAAATGAAAACCCAAATGCATCGATAATATAGTGTATCTCAAAAGTATTTATACTTTTTCAATGCATAATATTAAAATGGAGTCCACAAGTACCCATGTATACAATTCCTTCTCCGTCCACTCAACAGGAATGCATTTTTTTATATTCTTTCACATATAATACAGTGCCTAATGTCAATCTTTGCAAGTGTCGCTAAAATTTCATGCTTTTATAATGAGGAATTCTGCAAATCAACCAAGACAAGATAAAACACAAAAATGCACAAAGAACTATTAGTATTCAGACTCCCTTTATGTCTCTTCAGCCCCTTTTAATCTCTTTACCTTTTTGCTGAGAATAGCAGCCTTGGCCCTCTTGGCTCGAACTTCTTCATTCCTCTTCCTCTTTTTCAAGAGGGTCTCTGGCACCTGCGGAACCTTCTTTTTTCTGCAAAAAGAATAAATTCTTCAAAACTGATTGGAAGATCCGATACACATTTAAATTATTATTCATTGAATTTTTTTTTTATTCATTCAGTATGTTAATTATCAGACAATCCTTAACCAGAATACATAAGTTTGTAACCCACGTATTGGACTGAAGAATATGGACTTTGTGTGTAAATCATCTATTGCCGTAATCTGTTTAAACGGTTCTGCAAGATAATGTTCACCACTACACAGAATGAAAGTTGCAGACTAATGGCAAACTACGAAAGACCATGTCAGAGAAATGTTAACACAGCGTTACTATCGAGAAATTTGAGTTATTCACGACAAAATAAAGAAGTTATATTAACAACATTTTGATGTAGACGTCGCCATGTTGACATGACGTACAATTTTGTGACGATTATAGTACAATTATAACATGTTGAAGTAAATATACTGATAATACATGTTGTTTTAATACTGAACTGTGATGGGAAATGAGAAAAACATATAAAACTCAAGTTCTGACATGGATGATATCGGATTGAAAATGCATAGCGCTTGCTTCACATACGTTTCCGCCATGATGGCCTATTGAAAAGGCCGCTTCAGATATTTAGCACACAAACTTCCGGTATAAGAAAACACTTATTTTGTGATAATCTTTTGATTTTGTAACAACAAAAATTATTTTACTTAAAAAAGATTTTTCTCTTTTTCATCAATAAACTACTTCTCTGAAGAATTGTTTTTTTTTTTAATTTATTGTCAATGTTGTTAGCGAACCACTGATTTTAGGGTTAAAGGTGATAGGTCACGTTGACTTATAGGCAACAGCATGACAGGTGCGTTGAACTGTCAGTCTCAGTCGCGACGATGGAGAGGAAGGTAGAAAGGATGGATTCCACTGCAGACGACAGTTCTGAAACAGAAACTGTTTTAAGTATTCTGAAAGATTTGATGACATGCTTAAAGCATGTTGTAGTTGCATTGTGTGTGAGTGTATGGAGATTTTTCATTTCACCGCCAAGAAAATGTGTAAAAAATGAAATTGTACTAATCACAGGTAGCGGATCGGGGATCGGCAGACAATTAGCAGAAGAATTTGCTAAACTTGGAGCAATTCTAGTTCTTTGGGATATTCAGGAACGGACAAATTTAGAGACAGCAGAATTAGTTCGACAAGCTGGCGCACAATGTTATTGTTACATTTGCGATGTTGGGTGAGTTTTGTATATATGTAATTCCATCAGCTTGTATACGTTTAGTGTATTTGGTAGGCGAGTAGAAATGATTCCCAAACTATGCTAGAGGCCAACGTGACGAAATGTCAAGTTGTTAGCATGTCATGCCATAGTAACAGCACAGAACAAATTGACCTGTCAACCCTCCCATGATGGTATGGTTTATTGTTCATAATTTAAACAGCCTCGCCAACCTCTAGGCATCCGATGTCTGGTATAATCAAGGGTGACGGGGAGGATGAAGTGTCATCAAAGGAAAAAATGTATAACCCACTATGTTGTATAGAGTCAGGGACGCAGATAAAGAGTATTTTGACTATAGTAGGACCAAATTGATTTGAAAATACTGATTGAAAGTTAAGAACTATAAGATTATTCTCATTTTGTTTACACAATTTAAGCATGCAGGTCATGATATGTGAATTGGCAACACTTTAAATACGCACAGGGACAGTCTGCACAATATCGCTATTTCTATGTGGGAAGGAAAATAGTTATTGTGTGGCTGAATTGGTTTTTCTGGATACACTCAGTTGACATTTAATGTTGAATTTTGCTCAGTTGGTAAAGCCACAGCTAAGTCTTAATTTTTCCCTGTTAGGTCACTCTGTAGGAAAAGATGTTACCAAATTTTAAACAATTAAAAATTTCATGCAATACAATCAAAATCTTCAAAAGTGTTGTTGTAGCCCTACTTTTGAATGACTAATACCTTTTAAAAAATACACTTTAAGTTGCTCTGTCTTGTAGACGCATTGGATATTTGAAACAATGATTGTTTGAAAAAGATATACTGTTAATTCTTTTCAAATTTGAGGCCTAGCATTGCAAGTCTCCCTCATGCATAGAAGCATGTGTGACACTGGTGCCCAACTAAACCCCCAAATGTTGTATCAATAGCCTTTATTGTAATTTTGGGAATCTCTAGAAAAGTTAGGAATTCATCTGATTTATACTACAATATTCCCAGCTAGAAAGGCCAAAGTATGGGAGTGGACTTATTCCAGGATAATGAAATAACCAAGTGTTAGGTTTTAGGGGGAAAAGCCCCTTTCAGAAATGTAGTGGAAATAATAAATTGAGCAATCGAGGTAAACATAAATTGAGGCGTGATGAAGTGAGACAAGACTGCTAGGGGACACCAGGCTAAGGGCACAACTCAATGTTTTTTTCTTTATGAATATAGATATAGAACAGTGTATTTTGGAAGAATTTAGCTATGAGCTTAAAGATGATTGGGTTTAATAAAATAAGAACAAATTCTTTAAAATAATGTTTATTAAGGAGAAAGAGGAAAGTTTATGTAGAAAATTGGGAATTTTGGTCCAATTTTGAGAAGGGATACTCCTTTTGAGCAGAAAAATGAACCAGATTGGATTGTGATAAATAACAGTTTGTAATTTAGTTCTATTAAACAACAATAGTTATGGATGGACACAGGTGGAATCATATCAGTTAGAGCAGTAGTGGTCACATTATGGTCCATAATCCACTATTTTGCTTGACAAGTGTTGAAGTTGCATTTCAGTAAATTTTGTTCAAGAACAACTCATTTCATCACCCCATGAACTTGACCAAAGCAATTAAGATTAAATGCTTAAATGAGGTTGCTATGACCTTGACCTGACTTTGACTGCCATTACTAAAAATCTTAGCATAATACAATAGGTTTTTGGACCATATTTAAGTCACTTATTCATGTTTGGACATCAAACTTGAGAAATTGATACATTTTTGAAAAAAATTACATGAGATGGTGATGTATTGCATACTAAAATAGAGCTATGACTTCTACTTGATCTGTGACCTTGACAGTGAGAGAAGATTTTTATCCCCTGAAATGAGAGGATTGTGTTTGAGTTCAAATGCATCACAAATACAGGGATGTGTCCCAACCTGTTTTAACTGAAATAAAAAAGATCAAAACACCAAAAAGTAGAATGATGATAAGCAAACTGTTCACCAATAACAATTTGTTGCTGGACACAAGTAAAAATAAATGTTGACCGTTTGGATTATTTCAGGTAAGGTTCAACATGACAGATCTTTTTGCTTGAGCTAAAATTTATGTATAAGTGATAAACTGCATAGATAAAGCGGATTTTCTTACCATAACTACAACTTCTTTTAATATCTTTACATTAAAAACAACACATCAAAATTAACACAAGGAATTCGTATTGAACTGTGCATTTTTGTCATTTTGAAGTCACTTATAAATGTTGATAATGATTAATTCAAGTTAGCAATGAATTATTCTTTATAACACAAGTTTGTGTCAGTTTATGAATATGGCCATCAGACAGCATGGGAAGCACAATGTTCTTGGAGACTCTTAGTGACAAGGGGTCTAAATCCTGAAGCAGCACCATGTAGCATGAAACAAGAGGGACATTTGTGTACATTGAGAATGCCAGGTTTAACTTGTGAGAGTTTTGGTATGCAGCCAATTCACAAAGGGAGTACTGTTCATGTACATGGGCATCTCAGTTGGTATAATTCTTTAGTCCAAAATATAGAAGTAAATAGTTCTTGATACTTTCTGGTTTTTTGTTAAGCAATGCTCAATTTACTTAGATAAATGATCACTTAGCATACCCAGGGTACACTTGTTAAAAATGTTCTTTTTCAGTTTTTTGATACAACTCTGACATAAATTTCTAAGACTGGATTTTCTTCTCTTGTAGAAATCGTGATGATGTTTACAAAACAGCCAGAAGAGTGAAACAAGAAGTTGGTGATGTGACTATTTTAGTAAACAATGCAGGTGTTGTTAGTGGAAAAAAATTGATTGACATTCCCGATCATCAGATAGAAAAAACAATCAATGTCAACCTACTGGCACATTTCTGGGTAAGTAAAATACCATATATTAAAATTCTGCTAATCAAGGGGAGACAAATATAAGTAAAGTGAAACACCTTCTGTTAAATTCTGTGTAACTTGGGGAGAGAAATGTTTGTAGAACAAGAATCAATGACAACTTTGGTACAAGAATCTGTTTCAATTTACTGGCACATTTTTGGGTAAGTAAAATACCATATATTAAAATTCTGCTAATCAAGGGGAGACAAATATAAGTAAAGCAAGAACCCGTTTTAATTTACAGACGCATTTTGGGTAGATTTATATACACATGTGAAAAAAGAAAAAAAAACACATGAAATAATGTTTTGTTAGTGGTAATGAAATTTAAGCAAATCAATTTATATCTTACTGGCTTGTTATTGGATAAATGAAAAATTAATTACACCATTCTGGGTAAATAGGTGAAAAAAATGTATTTAGAAATTTGTCACTAATACTGTATTGTTCTTTGTGAATGTGGCATGGTGTTATTGTTATTGTAATAAGGTTTTTTCAGCAATTGTTGTTCAGGTTTTGTTGCATTTCATTTTTCTTGCATTTTTGACACTACAGTGTATTATTTCATTTACACAGGCAAAGATTGATGTGTAATTTTAAAATTAAAAAAAAAACCCAAAAAAGTAATGAATTAGCAGAAATATCATTAGCACTTGATACGTTATGTTCTCACCGCAACTCAGGGTTAGTCATTGTTGTCCATTTTTTTTTGTACCAGGATATAGGTGTAATCGAGACCTATCCCTACCCTCGTTGTCGTCCAGTTTTCTGTATAATTGGTACAACAAAACCTATCTCTCTCACACCAGTGTTGTTTACAACAGTTCAAGGTCATCCTTCTTGTTTACTGAAAATAAATTTGTCGAAAGGACAGAGTATAATGGTTGTTTATAACATAGCACATCTAACACAAAGTCAGGGGATTGGTTTGTGCTTTTACAGCAATACCTACGGATAGACCATGCATTATGTTTTTTTTTTATCATCATTCCTCGAAAGTGAAATGAATTTTAGGGTAATCAAATAAACTTTATGAATAGATGTTAATCTACTGTATTACATTTTCCCAGTGAAACATAGATTAAATCATTGATTTTGCAGACTAACACTAATAAAAAGGCAGAACACAAATCGTCTTATCAGATTGACAAATCATGAAGCCTTGTACAAAACAAAAAGAACTCCAGAAACCTGAAGGAGTTGTTTACTACAAACACGACCTTCAGTTCCATCTGAAGTCAGCAAACAATGCAACTAAAATGACCTTATCAGAGATCAAACCCGATCCCCAACCCAATGTCTTGAAAGTGGAGCTAGACATTTCAAGAGGATTGCTGTCATCAATAGCGACAGCTGGGTTGCCAACATATTTTCAGGCAAATTGCAACTTGTAGCAGGTTAAACACTCAATGAACGTATTGCAGCAAATTTTGTCTGTTAGTTACATGAATAAGTAACATTTTCTATGTGAAGTTAAAAATAAATTGACATTGAAATTGATATTTGTGTCTACATATTTTTAACAATTTAAAAAAAGGACTATATTTTGTCATGTACTGTGAAGTTATAATGAGCGAGTTGTATCTGCAAAAAGTTACGTTAGCTTTGTCCTTTTATATCTGTCCTAAAATTGCCTATAATTTGGCTATTTTGCTTGTGAAAATGTAATAATTATACTCAAGGGATAAAGAAAAGCAGGGTAAAATTTGAAGGTGATTCTAGGCAAGAAGTTGAGTGTTATGTTCAATATTTTTAAGTAACATTGAAGATTAATTCATACAGAACAAACTGCAAAATCAACGATTTGTATCGGGTTAGTGATTCAGGAGTAACTGAAGGGAATTGAAAGAGAATTCTGTAATCTGAAATCGAAATGAACTGATTGTAGGAGCTGGCTAGTCAATACCGGGTATGTCCCCCATTCGCTTTCTCCACAACCCTGATTCTCTTAGGCATGGAGTTCATGAGTGAATTTATCCTCCTCGTTGGGATGTTGGCCCATACTTCCAAGAGGGTTGGTCTCAGTTGGTCCAGAGTAACGGGGAGGCTGGCGTCGTTGAACCTGTCTATCCAGCTGGTCCGACAAGAGCTCAATAAGGGATAGTTAGGGGTTGGAATGTGAGGTTATTTAGCTGCAGTAATGGGACAACATGGGATCGAAGGATCTCATCGCTATACCTAACGACAGTTAAATTTCCCGCTACAGCAACCAATGTTGATTTAACTCCATATGAGATTTCTCCCCACACCATATCCGATCCATCCCAAACCTATTCGTCTCTACTACGCAGCAGTCGGCAAAACATTCACTATGATGTTGGTATACATGATGTCAATGGTCTGCTCATAACAGGGTGAACCGGAACTCATCAGTAAACAACACCCATCTCCACTGCCTTAGGGGAATATTCTGGGGGCATGTGTCACAATCCAAGCCATACAACACTGGCGATGAGCAGTGGAAGGGGGCAGACCTACAAACGAGTGACGTACCCGCAGATCAACTTCCCGCAATCATTTCTTAAAAGTTTTTGTACAGATAGGATGGTTGTGGTACGAAGGACAGATTCAATGGCAGTAAGGTGCCAATTGTGCAAATGCGCGATGTTGTGACATTGTGACATCACACGCGGACGGCCATACCTAGGTCTGTCAGCAACCCACCCATTTTCCCTTAGACATCTAGCAAGATGTTCTATAGTGCAAATATGGACAACGAAATGTCTGGCAACTGTATTTACCTTTATCCTTGCATAATCATTGCAATGGCCTGCCCCCTCTGAACTTTCGACAGCCGTGCCATTGTTTAATGCTATCAGAAATTAATCAAAACATTGGAAAATGATGTGTCTTTATGAATACTACCTAACGGTATGACGAATAGTGTAACTCAATGTCACAACACTGCTGTGCATGAGATTTTCCCATTTTGTGCTTTCCTCAAAAGGCATTATCACCCAATACAATAATGCAACGTTTAATACAGGGCCATGTGAACTGTAGCCTAGAGAGTTGCCAGACCAATTTTCATTGTTTTTAAACAATGCAAATAATGAGTATATAATATTTAATAGTGCCTTCAGTAATAACAAATATAGTTTTCTTGTGTCTCTAATATTTGACACACTTGCGACATATATAATTGTTATAACTAAAGACACAATGAAATATCCTCTATGTATGCAGAATTCAATTACTATATAGCAGCGGATGTAGACATTACAAAATGGCAAGGATGCTAAAAGTAGATAAAATTCAATCATTACTTTGGATCTATACTGTCTAGCTGACATGTTGGTAAACTGTAAACATCCACCCTCGCACACTTCTCTGGGGTCTTAATTCACTTAAGGATGTATGCAGGCTATCTCTTGTTAAAGGCCATTATAAAAGATGAGACCATTATAACAGCTTCTGTTATGAATCATCATCTGACATCCATTTTCAGCTAACGTGGCCGATGGACCGCTTATGCAGCGGTGCGGCATCTGTAATCTGTCCGCCATTGTCTATCTGACTTCAACTTTTCCATTTAAGCAACTTCTGCTCAATAACAAACTGACCAAATGGCATGGTTGTGGCTGATGGCCTGCTGGGATGAAGTTTGACAAAATTTGTGAAAAGAAATAACCTTGACCCATATTCAAGGTCACATGGGTCAAATTTGTTGAAACCTTTCAATAACATCTTCTGACTAATCAAAAGTCTCAAAAGCTTTTAAAAAAAGAAATGAATCATATTCAAGGTCACAGGGGTCAGATTATCAGAACCTATAAAAGACTCCTTCTGGTAAATGAAACTTCGGAGAAGCAGGATATTTGGTGGAAAGGTGTTTCTAGGTCAAAGCCTTCAAGAAAAAAAAATTACATTTACCTTTGATCCAAGTGATAACTGTCCCTGTTATGAGTTGAGTATTAGAAGTATTTGTTATAGAAATTGATAAGAATTGATTAGATATGCCCACTTTCAATACCCAGAATGAACATGTTATACAAGCGATAAACACTGATTCATTTTTGGTGAATATTGAATACCAGGTGAGCAATGCATGTCCTTTGGGCCTCTTTTAAACTCACCTTGGGATAAGGGGAAATAGATCAAAGTCTGTAAAATCCATCTCCTTGTGTAGGAATGTCAAGATAAGTTCAAATTTTCGTCTGAAGCATCCTTAAGTGAAGAAAATAAATTTTTGTATAAATGGTTGGTCTCTGCACCCGGGGTAGGGACTACTGACAAACCTATTGGAATGAAGTCCAACAGATTACTGACATTATCATTATCGGTAGAAACCTCACCAACAGCAATGTAAATGTCAGACTCTGTACTGGAAAATCTCTGATAACAAAGCTCAGTAAAAAAACCTTCAAGTGGCTTAAACCTTCAGCAATGGTCAGGACAAAGTGGGCCATACAGATGAAAATAACTACAGAAGAGTCATTGAAGAAGGAACCCGCTAAGAACATCAGCAACATCAAATATGCAATACACAGCACAGTAGCTATACTTCATTTAATGCCTGTTACATCCTTATAAGGGTAAAAACTATTAAGGATGTCACAAAAATATACATATGAATTTAATTTTCTTTTTTTTTTTTAAAGACTTAAAATGACTATAATGTATAAAAACACTCTGAGAAAATGATATAAACATTCTATTTTCCAATAGTATGTTACAAAACTAAGACTTTCTGTTAATTACTAAAATTAAAAGTCACTGCAACCATTTTTTATTGATATCTAAAAAATAAAGAATTTATATTAGACAGGAAATCGATAGATGACGAAAGATGAAGGAGGATCTTGGACTGAATATGGATTCAGAATTTGCGAAGCTGCTGCTTGACTGGTTAGCTTAACGTTAGCCCTATAATTATAACGTATCACCCTGTCATTGATTATAATCCAATATCCAGTGTTTGACGCGTGAATATGTTATGAACAACACTACTAAAAGTGTTATCTGATAAATGTTGAATGAAAATAGGTGTGTTATTAGCTTGAATTCACAAAGATTGATTGTTAAAAATTATATATTACAACACTATAGAATCATTTACTGCAAACAAGAATTAGCAGAAAGGCGCAAAAGCAAGTGTCATACATAAGACATGTGCGTTTGTTTACACTTTCCTCGTAATCCATTTTTTCTTTGCGGCGGAAGTAAATGACTTCGTGACATGACAAGTCATGTGACCCACTAAGCTTTCTTCGTAATAAACCAAGCGTGAACATGTTTATAAACAATAGTCAAGACAAACAATGGTTTATATATATACAAAAACAACAAATTTGACGTTATGCGTGCGTGTTTTATTATTCATTAGCCGAATTCTCCATTTCCTGATGTTGAAATCTAAGGTAATAGCTGCTTTAAAAACATCAGTGCATGTTATACATAACTTGTTCTCTATATTTGAAGCACAGAGATTGCCTGATCAAAGGTGACAGGAAAAATTTCTCTATCATCCAATACACATTGCCATTAGTTTTTCAATATACAGTCCCTAGACAGATGTTGTATGGTGTCCATTTATAAGGTGTGAAACAGAAGATATAACGACACCGGATCAATAAAAAGGATGTTTTTTTTTCATTTTTTCATTACATAGATCCATTTATATGAATATAGATATAATATCATAAAAGCCTTGATATCGCTTATACAAAATGCTTTTTAAAATATTTCTTTATTCCTAATTGGTTTACAATGTATCACATTACAGGTAGCCATAACACTAATATAAGATATTGGGGCCTCGTTAGTACAGAAACTACCGAAACATAGAATTTATTGTTGAGGTCTAACAGTGGTGATATATTGGCACTAACAAGTGAGCAAACTTAAGGCTCCTGGTTCCAGGCTAAATATATTCAATAACAGACATTTGATATTGATATATACCCACATAAGGTGATTTTTATTGTTTAAACCAAAAAAAAAATGAACATTGAATGATGTTGTATATTGTTAAAAATGTAATGTTGTATACTGTAAAAGTTGTAATTTTTGAGGGACTCTTGTTTTTCATTGTTATGCTCTATACTGCAAAAGTTGTAATTTTTGAGGGACTCTTGTTTTTCATTGTTATACTCTATACTGCAAAAGTTGTAATTTTTGAGGGACTCTTGTTTTTCATTGTTATGCTCTATACTGCAAAAGTTGTAATTTTTGAGGGACTCTTGTTTTTCATTGTTATACTCTATACTGCAAAAGTTGTAATTTTTGAGGGACTCTTGTTTTTCATTGTTATGCTCTATACTGCAAAAGTTGTAATTTTCAAGGAGAATTGTTTTTCACCAATATGTTGTATACTGTAAAAGTTGTATTTTTCATCAATTTCGATTCAATAATTCAAAAATTCAATAAAAACAGGTACATGTAGTATGAATTTAAACATAGCACATTTTCTAAATAGGAGATTGTTTTCATCTCATAAACCATGCTTATATTGAAATCTCCCAATATTTGCAAAGTTGTAACCAGAGCCATATCAAAGTGTTACAAAATGGCTGTTAGAAAAATTTGGTAGCCATTTTATACTGGGCAATTTTTCCATTGATTTATTCCAGTTTTTTGTGAAAACAGGTAGAATTTCAACCATCGAAAAAGAATGTATATATTTATATTTATCACATAATCTGAATGTTATCCAGTGAACTTGCCCATTTAACATTTTTGCATATCCAGTATATGCCACTTATGTAGTATACCCTGGAACATTTTTCATTGGCTGTGTCAGTCAGAAATGTGGTGTGATGTCATAATATGGACTATGATATGATGTTATGACTAGTATATGGCTGATCAAAATTGCTGCCTCAGTTGTCATAATGTAACTTTTCTGAGTTTTGTGATAAAAAGAATTTGGCTCTTTAAAATTGTTTTCGTTTTTTGTGAGATTTTATGAAACTCATCTTGCTTAAAGGTTGGCAAAAATAAAAACTTCAAAGACTTCTTTCATAAAATCTCAAGAAATGAAAACTCATTATGATATTAAATTTATACTATCTGAAGGGAGAGCATATAGTCACCACTTTGTCAGTCCGTCCATCTGTCAGAATTTTGTCCAGAACACAACACAAAAAGATATAAGAGGTATCAACATGGATAGATCACAGCAAAGAGAAAAACAGTGCACAAGAACTATCAATCTCTTTTGCTTCATTTAGGAGTTATTGCCCTTTGTTATTTTTCATACTTAAATTTTGTCCAGAGCATTACACTAAAACGATAAGAGGTATCAACATAAATTTTGCTAGGTAGATAGATCTCTATGAGAAGGAGGACAGTGCACAAAAACTATCACTCTCTTTTGTGCAATTTAGGAGTTATTGCCCTTTGTTATTTTCATACTTAAATTTTGTCCAGAGCATTACACTAAAACGATAAGAGGTATCAACATAAATTTTGCTAGGTAGATAGATCTCAACGAGAAGGAGGACAGTACACAAGATTCATAACACTCTTACTGCCCTTTGTTATTTTTCATACTTAAATTTTGTCCCATTCTGGGAACATAACCTGTCTCTGATGGCCCTTGTTATATATATAAGTATATTGATGATTTTGTTTTAGAGAGAATTATACTGACAAGTTCCCGTTTATGTTTACAGCGAAACCTATCTATAGAGGTCACTTAAGGGAGAAGGGAAAAGTGGCCTTTATACACAGGATGCCTATACTTATAGGTTCAATTACTATGAATCGCATTACATAGAGAGCCATCAAAGCAGGCTTTATAGACTGGTGGCCTATGTATAAAAGTGGCCTTTAAGAGAGGTTTGACTGTAAATATCACGGACTCCTTTATTATAACTTCCTTTCTCCTTGACAAAGTTTCCTTTATGAACTTCTCTTGAGAACTAGTATAGAATACAAGATTGTAAACATCTGAAAGACATTGTAGTCTGGGACTCTCATGAAAACCCAAGGAATTCCTAAAATACAATATATCATATGTTTGTTTCTATTTCAGACTGTCAAATCATTTCTGCCTACGATGATGAGGAGGAATCGGGGCCATGTTATAACAGTGGGAAGTTCGACTGGTTTAGTAGGACTTAATAAACTCACAGACTATAGTGCATCTAAATTTGGAGTGGTCGGCTTCTCCGAGGTGCTTAATTACGAGGTGATCTATGGCGGCTATGATGGGGTTAATACAACATTAATCTGTCCCTCGTTTGTCAATACTGGACTATTTCACGGTTGTAAAATGAAGTAAGTGTTTTTATTTATTTTGGTAAAGAAATGGGATTTTACCTGGAATTACTTCAATTTCTTAATTTCGGATGTATGTTAATGCTGTATATTGTAACATATTCCTTAATTGATGACGACACAATATTTACAACATGACAATGTTGATGAAGGAGTTAATGCTGTATATTATAACAAATTCCTTAATTGATGACAACACAATATTTACAACACGGCAATGTTGATGAAGGGGTTAATGCTGTATATTGTAACAAATTCCTTAATTGATGACATTACTATATTTACAACACGGCAATGTTGATGAAGGAGTTGATACATAGTCCTATCTCAAATATTATTTTCGTCATTATGGTTTGAAATACACATTGTATAACACTTTTGTATAAACGCATATGTGTGGTATTTGTTCAATTTTCATCATCACCAACACGTTAAGAATTGTCACTTTGATTTCTGTGACTGAATACTTCTTCAGACTTGTTACTGTAGTCATTGTCATAGAAGTGTGTAGGAGGAACACAAAAGATTTCCATTCATATTGAGTGACATTGACATCTATGCTGCAACCTTGTAGCCTATATAAAAAGGACAGTTTTTGAGTCATTAATATACAGAATAAATCCAACAATCTAAATTCAAGTGTCCAGCTGAATAATTTCAATCTCGAAATTCAAGGGATCGTGAAAAATAATTAGACTTATCCAAAGTTCAAAGGTTGACTTATCCTGAATTTGATTACTGATGGATGGAATAATGGCTACGGTAGAACCCTACACCATGGTACAGTGTAATTCAATCTGTTATTTGAAAGGGCAGTAAATAAACAGAAACAAATAAGTTTCTATTTTCTCGTTTTATTGTTTCTTCATCCAAATGACAAAACATGTAACAGCAATATCAACAGCATATGAACTCACCGTCCTGCATATGTGTACACTCAAAGCACAAATAGATCATATATTTTACGAAATGACGATAAAGCGAAATTAAAACTATGAATGAAAAACGCACTTTGTAGTTAACGTAATTCAATCTCGCATCAAGTTTTCTTTGTAAACCTTTTTCCAGCAACTGATCCAGCAATCGCCCCAGATTTTACTCTGGGTCCTTCACTAGATTGCTCAATTGACCCTATTCTTCACTAGATTGCTCAGTTGACCCTATTCTTTACTAGATTGCTCAGTTGACCCTATTCTTCACTAGATTGCTCAGTTGACCCTATTCTAGCTATCCCCCCAGGTTTTACTCTGGGTCCTTCACTAGATTGCTGAGTTGACCCTATTCTAGCTATCCCCCAGGTTTTACTCTGGGTCCTTCACTAGATTGCTGAGTTGACCCTATTCTAGCTATCCCCCCAGGTTTTACTCTGGGTCCTTCACTTGATTGCTCAGTTGACCCTATTCTAGCTATCCCCCCAGGTTTTACTCTGGGTCCTTCACTAGATTGCTGAGTTGACCCTATTCTAGCTATCCCCCCCAGATTTTACTCTGGGTCCTTTACTTGATTGCTCAGTTGACCCGATTCTTAACTAGATTGTTCTGTTGACCCTATTCTTCACTAGATTGCTCACTTGACCATATTCTAGCTATCCCCCCAGGTTTTACTCTGGGTCCTTCACTAGATTGCTGAGTTGACCCTATTCTTTACTTGATTGTTCAGTTGACCCTATTCTTTACTTGATTGCTCAGTTGACCCTATTCTAGCTATCCCCCAAGGTTTTACTCTGGGTCCTTCACTAGATTGCTCAGTTGACCCTATTCTAGTTATCCCCCCAGGTTTTACTCTGGGTCCTTCACTAGATTGCTGAGTTGACCCTATTCTAGCTATCCCCCCAGATTTTACTCTGGGTCCTTCACTAGATTGCTCAGTTGACCCTATTCTTTACTTGATTGCTCAGTTGACCCGATTCTTAACTAGATTGCTCTGTTGACCCTATTCTTCACTAGATTGCTCAGTTGACCCTATTCTAGCTATCCCCCCAGGTTTTACTCTGGGTCCTTCACTAGATTGCTGAGTTGACCCTATTCTTTACTTGATTGTTCAGTTGACCCTATTCTTTACTAGATTGCTCAGTTGACCATATTCTAGCTATCCCCCAAGGTTTTACTCTGGGTCCTTCACTAGATTGCTGAGTTGACCCTATTCTTTACTTGATTGCTCAGTTGACCCGATTCTTAACTAGATTGCTCTGTTGACCCTATTCTTCACTAGATTGCTCAGTTGACCCTATTCTTTACTTGATTGCTCAGTTGACCCTATTCTTCACTAGATTGCTCAGTTGACCCTATTCTAGCTATCCCCCCGATTTTACTCTGGGTCCTTTACTAGATTGCTCGGTTTACCCTATTCTCAACTAGATTGCTCAGTTGATCCTATTCTCCACTAGAACTGTGGGTAGATTGGAAATATGTTATGTTGAGAGTGATGTGATTAAATCATTGCTGGTTATTTATGATGAAATTCTGGCTTTGATACATATCTCTACTCAAAGTGTCAACCTTTACATATTAGAGTAGTACCGCTACTAAATCAACACTTTCATTTCTTATCGTTCCTAAAGATGCATGCAACCAAGCTAACTACACACGTTTCTGATCCATTATGCTGCGTTTACATGAGCAGTTGTCATGTCTTGTGTAAACATGCTACTTATTTACATGTAAGTCACTGTTAGATAGGTGACACTGATTAAAAAGCTATCTTTTAATTAGATAATTGAACTGTTGATTAATTGTCAGAGACCAAATGGTTTGTTTGCGGAGGTCCGGAACGCCGTAATTAGCCATGTGTTATGCACAGGTAACTTTCTACTCTGTGTATATATTGACCGATTTCTTCAGAAGTTTTGACAAAAATTCATTTCTAGACAATGAGTAACATTTTTATTGATTTACAACTGAAGGAACGGAAAAATCACTTCGACTCAAGCGAAATTTCGACTCTATGAAATTAGAGTCATCCAGACTAAAATTACAAAGATATAGAAGGGAAAAAATCGGGACTTGAAAATAATTTCGACTTAAGTGGAATTTCAACTTCAGTGATTTTGAGACAAGTTTCAACTGTATATCATCAAATACTACATTTTTCATGCAATATTGGTATAACCTGCTTCATTCCTGAGTTTAATTGTTCTTTAAAAATCAAATAATGAAAACTTTTCAGATGGTCAGTATTTTATTAATGCTTCTTTTGGCAATACAAATTTGGTATCGCATGAATGTCATTTAGCAATTGCAGTTTTCGAAATTTGATGGTGATGTTAATGTTGCTCCAATCCCTGTCTTGTGACTTAAGGTTAAATGCATATGAACTGAAAATGTCACTATGATGTTGAGAGCAATATATATCAACGATATCAGTGTCTATAGAACCTGTACCAGGTAGAGGATGATAAGACATTGAATAAAAAGTGGCGTATTTTCAACAATAAAAAAAAGAAATCAAAGATGCAATACATGTCCATATGACCCTCTGTTTAGTTTGTTTGAATTTGACAGAGTTTTTTGCCCAATAGAAAAATAAAGAGACACACAGTAAATCTTTAACATCCTTAGTCTTTTCATATAAAAGGATTTTGACAAAATGTTGTTAAATTCATCCTTCAATGAATGAACTTAATCTACTTTCAAGGTAACATAAAAACCAAAAAACTGTTACGTTTGATCATTTAACATGGGATTCATAAAGTTATTAAATTTGTTTAAGTGGATAATCTTTATGTATCCTGACAAGGACTCAGAGGTCAAAGGTCTTTTCTTACAATATGGTGAGAATAATCAAGAAATCTGGGTCATATTTCACCAGTATCATTTTCTGACAAAGGCTTTCATGTTGATTTTTTTACACATTCTTCAAATGAATGACCTTGACCTAGGTTACCAGGGTAAAATGTTTTCCAGTGATGTTATATCGTTAAATGTGTAGCATATCTAGATTTTCAGAAATACATGCACAAAGTGAATCTTCTTGAAACATTTAGGATATTGTATGGTTTAGGTTGAAAGTGCCATGTTTGGTGTTATTGTAACACAGTGACGTAACAACACATAACTGTTGGTAATAGTCATGTTTATTTAGATGTTAAATAATAGTCATGTACAAAGGCAACATCTCATCAACATACTCATATATTCACTCCACTTCGCGTTGTGTCTCATAAAACAGTCTCTGTATCAAAACTCTCCTTGTATAAAAACAGTACTTCTAGGTATATATTAACATACCCACTCGTTATGCTATCCATTATGGTATAACCTGTCTGTGAGCTGGTCTATGGGGCTACCTAGGGCCCATCTATTGGGGTGTCCCAACCCCTTCTCTAAGCCATCTATGACTGTGCAGTCAGGTATCCAAACTCCTTCTCTAAGCCATCTATGACTGTGCAGTCGAGTGTTCAAACCCCTTCTCTAAGCCATCTATGACCAGGCAGTAGAGTGTTCAAACCCCTTCTGTCCTTTCCCCAGAATCTAGCTTCTATTTATCTCATCTTGACCGATTCTGTCCCGCTATCCCCTTATATGGACTTCACTTGTTGCAAGCTGATATAATTTTTGAAGTATAACCATCCACGCTCGAGGTGCGAGGTTGGGATTCCCCCTGCTTAGTTTGTAACTGGAAATAGCCCTTGACAATTACTCTAACACCTAGTGGTCACTGTCTGAATGGGTAATTGCGTAAGTTAAATTATCAAGGAAGCTACGCCCGTTCCATCTGATAGTATAATTTACACCACATGCTCTACAAACCCTGAGCTACTGCACTCCTCGCCTATCACCAGTAATGATTAGCCTATTTAATTGATCTACTACAGAACCATGACTTCGCTACAGTGTCTTACTTCCCAATTGTAATCCTACAATAAATTGAATAAATCAATATGTAAATATCAATACCTTATTGAGTAACATTTTTTTCATTTTTATTTTTAACATGGATGCCATATTTTGAAAATGATCTGATATTTGAAATGGCACCCAGTAACCCAGACCAGTTTGTTG